GGGGGGGGGGGGGGGAAGCGCCTGCTCACTTTTGCTGTAAAATATTTCTTGTCACGAAAATCTGGATATGCGTATTGATCGGATGTCAGATTAAGTCGTGGAACATTTTTTTTAGTGAATTTTTGAAAAATTTCGTAACCGTCAGTCGTGCAATTTTGTCAACGGTTCGGCAAATCATGATCGTTACGGCCCATTAAGTAGCCAGTAGCTTGCTATGTAAATAAGCCGTAAGTCACCGTCCTGATTGGTTTGTTCACCAATGACGTCAGAAACGGGGGGGTTGCCTCGAGATGCAAGGAAACACGTGGGGAACTGCTCTGTCGTTTATATGGCGAAGCGCGCACCTGCGTGAACTCAGTTTTCTTCGCGGTGGAGAATCGCGACGCGAGGATTCAAGCCCGGACGCTCCGTTCTGTTTCCATTCTGCAGCGAGAGTGCGAGGTGAGACTCATCGATCTAGGAAGAGATCATTGGGATTTTTATAGCTAGTGGAACCGTGGCGACCGACGTCTTGATCGAATCGTCTTGACGCCATAGATAGTCGGATTGGAACGTTGCGAGATGCTCGTGGGACTAATTTGTTTTGAAATAATTTTTTGAGTTATACAATTTTTTTTTTCGAATTTATTTTCATCAAACATGATCGTGAAGTGCAGATGATACGTAATAATATTTGTAGTGATAATAATAATAATTATACTGATAATAGATGGTTAAGTCGAATTTAAAAAAAAAAAATTTACTTCGGTATTTAACGTTAGGACGAGTTTGATATTGAGTTACGAATCTTTAGAGAGAAAAAATTTTTTGACTAAAAACGGTGGCTTCATCGTTAAAGACTGCGAGAAGGATCGATACGAGCTTATAGGTAAGAAATGATATTTTTAATTTTATCTTTTGAAGCTATCAACATTTATTTATTACTGTATTTTGCGAGCGTTAAGTGATATTGTTGTAGGATTAAGATTTGTACGACAATGTAGTTGTAAGTTTTATTGCATGCACATGATTAGTTTTTATATATACTGTTCATTTTATATGATTCTTTAATGTGCGAGTTATTAAATAAGATTTCACGTATGATACGTGATAAGATACTTCCGTTTTGAATTTATTGAAAAATCGAGAAAGATTTTTGGGGAGCGGGATTTTTTAATTTTTTAATTTTTGACTTTGTTTTTATTTAACGTCTATACGTATACCTCGATTTTGGAATAATTATTTATTCACGTGAATTAGCTGTTAGCCTCGATCGAATGCTCTCACAATAAGCAGATCGAATCGTCTAGATCGTAAATAATGGGCCGATCGAATTGCGCTGTCGATTCTTCTATTACTACTGTGCGTGACGCGTGGCGCCGTTTTCGTTAGATGCGAAATCAATGTCGAACACGTTGGCGTTTCTTCTAGCCGACAATGGACAGTCTTTAGAAGTCATTCGTTCGTTTCCGTGACCTTTCATAAAATTCAAGAACGACGCCGTGCGATCCTTGAACATTGATTAACGCGAAAGAAAGGAACGTAAAGATAAATGGAACAAATAGGAGATAGAAAGGACAAAAGAAATGCAAACGAAATTCCATTTACCTTGTGCGAGCAAATTCTAAAGGAATTATCGCCATTGTCTTTCGTAATCACTACCGTTACTGTTACAAGCGTAAGGTAATTGCACGAATCACAATTAGCATTTTACAAGCTCCGCATTGACTAGCGTCTATAACTATATACGCAATACCAATGCTTACGTGAAAACTTAACAAATTAGTTTTTGCAGTCATTGACTTTAGAAGATGCCAAGAATTTTTTTTTTACGTTCGCTCATTGCTATGGTAAAATCACTAGAGCGATTATGACTCAAACGACAGGGGATGGATGATTATAATGACGATTGAATCACTTTCAGTCGCTTTGATGTTTTCTTCCATATTTAAATAACACTGCACTGCTTATAGTCTAACGTTATGTGTTCTAATGTCAGTTCTCAGTTGTAAATATTAAATGTATCCCACTTGGTCTTGAGCACACATTTTTATTCTATATATACACATCGTGTAACTACGATCTCCTACGATACATTAATCCACTCGACAATACTTCGATCGAAGTCCTGCCGGAGTCATTACCAGTAAAATGATGTAAGATTATGAAATTGATTATTCAAATTTCCCGCTCATAGATCATGGCGTCTATAATTCATTGGCGTAACGGAAATTTGCTACGGTCAGCTATGAAAAATCAATGAATCTTTATCGAGGCCATTAATTGTGATCAAACAATGATGTTGGTCGTGTTTTCAATGACAATGAAATTCCAGAGAGGACGCTTAACTGGAAATGCCACGAGGGGAAGACATTTTGACTCGTGTTCCGTTCTGGTAGAAGACAGTTTGATTCGCGTTCCACTCTAGCAGAAGACAACAAACGCTGCCTGTAGACGGCAGTTGAATTAGCTAGTAACTGGCACATGTCCCCAATTGGGGATACAGCCGTAAGGAAAGGAAAGAAGGATATTAGTTAGTAGTCACGAATAGATATTTCGTTCGACTAACGTCACTCGCAATTATTTGTTTGTCGAGCAGCAATATTGACGGATGCTTCATCTTGAAAAGCAACATGAAAGTGCTCGTAAGTCTATCCTCAGCGTACGAATTGGTGGACGGCGGCTTTTGAAATCACCGAGTGTCGCAGGTTAGAAACGGTTGTAAAATTCCGATTGTGTAAATACTTATATTTTCCTGTACTTTTCACTTGCGTACGTTCAGTCCTTCGTCTGGCTGCTTTACTTGTCCTCTTGACTGTGTACTGTTAGTTTCCTTAACGATTCTTGGGATTCAGTGACAGTTTTCATGATATTGCGCCATCCTTTTTACGACGCTATTTATTCGTAGGGGCATTTGTATCGGGACTGTACGCTGACAGGGTAGGAAAGGCATGACGAAACGGCTTGATCGATGATTAATGATTAATACTATTTAACGAAATAATAACTGGTGGTACGATTGTGTTTAATCTTGATTTATTGAATGGAATGTTTTGCTTTCCTTTGTTGCTACTTAACGAATTATATCCGCGTATTATTTACTGTCGTATGGAAAAAGTACAGGAGCATTCGCTTCTTGTATTGATCGACGTGGCGCGCTACAAATAAAATCTGAAAAGTTACGAAACCCCCGCGTCTTACATAAAATAATAGGTGTTTAGTCATTTCAATATCTTCACTTTACTTACGTAACACCCGGTACGTAGCTCTATACCTAGATCGTTCCTACCGTTATGCACGTGACGCATCGCAAAACGCATAAAATCTTACGAAGTAAGGACGGGAGCTTCTATTCGGAATAGAGGAAATAGAAAAATAATTTATATTGAAAACAACTAAAACTTTCAACAACTCGACGTGCCTAGAAATAGTCATAACAGAAATATGTATTTCGATCGCCGTGTCTGACATATACTATACATTGACTATTTGCTTAAGAATATATATCTGATGTGCACGTGGAAACGAATTCCAGCCGAGTTAGATCGTTTGTCTGTGTCTCTAGAACTGAAAGTCTGTGAAACTTCTGAACATCGATATAATGTAAAATGTAACAGTCAAATAGAAGTCACTAAAAATACTCGGGGCTTAAACTGTTAATAAAATCGAATCAGACGTTGATAGCATGGATAAAAACGTTGTAATTCATATTGACTTGAAACTCTAAAGATAAAAAATTCTGATAGGATCTTTCAGCCTGTTGAAATGCAACATGTTAACCAATACGATTATTTAGGAGTAAGATTTTCCCAATCAAGTCACATTAGTTAGACTAAGAAATTTGTAAATAAGGCAAAAGTAGCGTCCGCTTCAATAATGTCCCTTACACTCAGGTTGAACGTATATTCTTGGCATGCTCTTCAAAAAGTATTTAATGCTCTGGTTAACTCTGTGTTATTATACTCTTCTTCGGTATGCCTCAAGGAACTTAAGAGAATTAGACAAAAAAAAAGTCCGATTAAATTTCTACGAAAGACTACTAAATTTATCCAGGAATACACTCGTCTGTGATATAAGATTTAAATGCACCTCCTACAACACGCTGTATACTAAAATGGATAATTGTAAAATTTTGAAAATGGAAGACCAGCGCATACCCAATATTTGCTTTTCAAAGCAATGCTCTATAGTAGACTCAAACGAAGCTCTTCTTAAATATCTTTTAAAAATGATGGCTCAAGTAAGATCGATCAACGAATATTTCAGCAGAATCATAAAATCCAAATATTATAATTTATTCGTCCTTATTCTCATTACTGCACGAAGCCGGATCGTTTATTACATAATTTGATGAAATCCAAGAAATTTGTAAGAAACTGAGTAAACTGGACTACCGTTTAAAGAGATTGACCGTTGTCACTTTGCATCATGCAGTATGGCAGTCACGATCGTTTTCACAAGAATAATGTAGGTTGCTCCAAATGGTAATAGCCGATCGAACAATAGAATTTCAAATGATGTCTCAGAAAAAAATAATTATCTTATTTTTAAAATTGCCATAAAAATGTATAATCGGTGCTTTGAATTTACCGCCAATTCGTACTTGGACTAGTTTATCATGGTCACGTTTCAAAATTCATCGTCAATATCTTATTCACTTCTATTTACTTCTCATATACCTGTATGCGTATGAGTGAAACGACTAGTTTCTTGGTACTGACAATTTCAATCAAAAATATCTCCTGTAGGCATTTTAATTGATTAAAATCTTCACCTAACCTCTTTGACAGTTTTAATATGCGTTCTCCTCGGTTATCTGTTTACCGTTTACTTCCAGCCCCAGGACGCGTTGCCTTGTCCTGCCGTACTGAAAAAATATCTATGTGTATCACGGCTGCTGACAATGCGTCAATCATTTCGAAGTTGGCATTATGTTGGCAATACTATACAGGATGATTCAGGAGTATCGCCTAACTCGAAGCTGATTACTACCGCAGACACTCTTATTCCCTATGGTATAGTAGTCCTGAATAACTCTGTATATCGATGACGTAGATCGATAAGGCCATGACGAGCTTTGCAGAATCGTCCTTCGAGACGAGAAGAATTGCGGTCAAATTTTACAGTCGCCATGATTATCCTTTCGATGGCCGCTGGAGAACGAGGCTTTGCTCTATGAATTTTTTTTTTCTTTTCAAGAAAACCGATCACAGCTGTGTCTAATTTTTGTGTTTATAAACCAAAAATTGTGTTTCGATTTTATTGATGCTGAATTAATCAGATGCTGACGTCACGCACATGGACGTTCGATTCGGTGGAGTGACGATGCTAAAATCGAGGGAAATTCTGATTGCGTATATATATACATATATATTGGGTAATACTTATATACCGAAGACGTCATCAAAGACGCAATTTCAATCTGTGCTATAAATTTCTTTCGCGAAATCAGGATTGCCCAGTTTTGCCATCACATGACAAACATGCGTTTAGACATCTGTTCTTTAAGTGATATTGTTATTCCTTACCAGGTAAGCGTAGTCCAGTATAAAGAGCGTAAAAAGTATCGCTCACATGACTCCAGTCTTGAGACTTCGACACACTTTTATATATGCGCATGAGAAACACGACGCTTAGGGAGGCCTCTCTGTAATTCTGTCTCTGACTCTCTTTGTCGTAGCCTCGTCTTACGGCACGTGGTCTTCGTGTATGTATATATACGAAAGAAATTGGCCGATTAATTCGATTAGTTATGATAATACATTTTTACGATAAAAATATACAGAGTGCATTTGATTTTTTGGATTATTTTGTTTTATCAAGTCAGAGGACGCTACCGGATTTTTTTAAGGTCGCCATTTTTTATTGGCTCGTTTGACTTGGCCTTCGCAATAAATATTAGAGATTGAATTCCTTCCGTATTCTGTGAATTTTTAGCCATTGCAATTTTGTGGGGATATTTTGTTTCACCTTTGAACTTTTCTATGGAATATTCATAAACGTTAATTCGAGTTAAATGTGGGTTACCAATTTTCTAGGTTATTTTTTTTTTCTTCTATTTTGATGACTCATAGATAAGCGGTACTCGATTTGCTGGCGGCCATGTTGCAGTATGGGTTTTCCGACTTTACGAGGCTTACGTTAATTGATTGGCATTTTTAATGGTCGATATTTTAGAGTTTATCGGTAAAACAGTGTCGAATGTATTTTCTTTGAATTTCGATGACGATAATGTTGATTAGCCTTTAATTACTTCCCAGCTATGTATATTGAATTGAGACGCGATGAAAATGAAAGAATGACGCGATCGAATAATTTTTTTAATTCACGCGTCATACATTTGTTAGGTACATTGAGAATTTTTGAAAATCCTTTTTAGGTGGCTTATGACAAAATAACGCTTATCTTTCACTTAAAAAGTGACATGCGTTACGTTATATGATTTATCAGATGAGAATCGTACGTAAATTGTCAAAGACCTGTGCAATATAAATTTATATTCATTTCAATATAAATAAAGGCTTAAACGACAATATTAATGGCAGATTCTCCATCGCGCAAGAGAAGAACGACCCGTTTTGATTGCTCTGATACAAATAAGTAGGGTTCATGGCCGAATTAATACTCCCTTCGTATTTCCCGCCTGATCTACAGTCACGAGACAATCGTAAATTGTCAATAGTGACGCAACAATATGGCGACCAGCGACTTATCGAAACGTCAATAAGCGGATTAAGAACTGTGATTTTCGAAGGTCGGGAGATTCGTTTTTGAAAATTTGTGTATAGAAAAAATATATTACAAATCTTTGAAGTGTATGTAAAAAATGATGAAAAACCTATTCATCCTGTGGCGGGAATTTTAAATTTACGACAATGCTCTTTTTTACAGAATGAAGGGTGACGACAGCGTAGGGGATGATGGGCTTGGTAAGGGCAATGGAGGATACTTGAATCATGCTCTGAGTAGATCACATGGAAGTCTCGATCTTGGCCATTCGAATGGATCGCAGACACTTAATAACTCGCATGGACCACATCGCGAGATACAAGGATCATCCGACTTCATCTGTAAGATTAAATAGCTGTACAGTAATAATAACATATAGATGGATATACTTTATTAGTAATAAAAATTTGTACCTATAGAGGCCTTTCTGGATATTTTTGAAATTATCCTAATGTCTTCTGCAGACAGTATCATGTATATTAGTGTGAATGAAAGTTTATTGGGTAAAAGAAATATATAGATATACATAGATTTACTAAATTATTTTGATGCTAGAATCGCTTTGCCTGGCTCAAATTGCCTGAATAAATATTATAAAATCATTTTTTTTTCTCGCACGCCTTAAAAGGATGTCACAAGAGTAAGTAAGAACAGACTGTATATGAACTGTATGTACAGTGCGACGTGATAATGCGAATGTAAACACGCAAAGCATTTGTGTCTCTTATTCAATTTATTCCTCAAGCAGTTATCCAATGAGATGAAAAAGATTACTCACTCTGCGTACACAGGTTACAGGTAGCTGCAAAAAAAAAGTACTTTTTACGATATCTGACATAAGAATTGTATTTCACATATACATAACACATGCGCACAAGATACGATTCAGAGCGCAGACAAAATTTCTATCTCATTAAATTAGCAATTCATATTTCTGTAGAGTTTCGATTCCAGTTTACATTTTCTGCGAGGAAACTGGTTCGCCTTCCGTCGTACTACATGCTAATTACATAATAAGGCGTAACTCTTGAATTAATGAGATTTTGCAAATGAATTAAGAAAAACGCACGAGGAAGAGATTGAGAGAAGAGAGAGAATATTAGCTAAAAAAAAAAAGATTTATTGTTTTACTATATTAAGAAAACGTATTTAGATTCCCTAAATTTGCATTATTTTCATTTCGCCTTGATTACGTGAATATTACTGACGAGGTATTCTATTATTTTCAACAGTGGTGGAGGAACCAGGGGATGAAGACGTGAAACAGAAAAACGGCGCAATCGACTCAATCGTGCGCTATGCGTCGCGACGCGCCAAGGCCGTTTGCACTAAGAAGACCTTGTACAAGAGACTGCCTGTACTGAGATGGCTGCCAAGATACAACGGGCAGGATGCACTAGGTGATCTGGTAGCTGGTATCACAGTAGGACTCACTGTCATTCCACAATCGTTGGCTTACTCGAACGTGGCTGGATTATCGCCTGAGGTTCGTTTTATGACTGGAATTGATGAGAGATAAACACTTAAAACTTTATGACAATTTGTATTTAATCTTGAAAAGATAATCCACGTAAATTTAATTTCCAAGCCTAATAAATCTTTAACGTAGGGTAGGAAAAGGTTATCTTTCTAGAGTTAAGGTTGAACATTGAATAGTATGTTTTACCATCTGCCTCTTTTGCAGTATGGATTGTATGGCAGCTTTCTTGGATGCTTCATCTACATCATATTTGGATCCTGCAAGGATATACCTCTGGGACCCACTGCCATAGTGTCCTTATTAACTTACCAAACTGTAGCCCATTTGGACTCACCTGCACAACATGCTGTGCTTCTTTGTTTTTTGGCTGGTCTCGTGGAACTACTTATGGGCGTATTTGGCCTTGGTAGGTTCGCAGCACTTGTAGTTAGAATCGTGGTTAATATTATTTTATAGCTTTAATATTATTTTAAGTAAGAAATTCGAATGAGACGCATCATGGCGGTACTGTGACTCCGCAGTAGTTATGCCTTTAAGCTAGTCAGACGGCGTCTGACTATATTGCCTTTATAAAAATTTGTTTTCTTCTTCTTAGGATTCTTAATAGATTTTGTATCTGGTCCAGTAAGCTCTGGCTTCACCTCGGCAGTGGCCCTTATTATAGTGTCATCCCAAATTAAAGATATTTTGGGTATCACCGCTCAAGGATCTACGTTCATACAGATGTGGAAAAGTATATCTGAAAATATTCACAACACTTCCGCTTGGGATGCTACTCTTGGAGCTTCCTGTATAGCTGTGCTTCTAATACTTAGGGTACATGTAATTTACATGATCAAGTAAAGAAAAGCGATAACAGTCGTATATAAAAATTTGGAATTTTATTAAATTACGTAGATCGTGGCTTCTATCACAGTCGGTCCCGAAGAAGAGGAACTACGTACAACGAAACACAAAATTGTAAATAAGATCTTATGGCTGACAGGCACCTCGCGAAATGCCTTACTTGTCGTCGTGTGCGGCATCCTGGGATACAGTTTCACTAATAACGCACCATTCAAGTTAATCGGTTAGTTTAATCTATGGACAAATCAATTGAGCTGTGTAGATAAGATTTATTATAAGTATATTGTTTGTTATCTTTAGGTCACATACCTGGTGGTATGCCTGCTGTACAATTGCCACCATTCGGATACACAAAGGACGGTAACACTACGGTCTCTTTCATGGAGATGTGTTCGAATCTTGGTAGCGGGATTTTGGTCTTGCCTCTTATCTCTCTGATGGAGGACGTTGCCATTTGCAAGGCTTTCGGTGAGAGTGATCATTCTTTTGATTTTTCTATGACTGTATTAATCATAGAATTAATTTATATGCTTTTAAACATCCACAAGAAACTCATTGCTCTTTATGTCAATCCGTGTACTAGAATTGATTTTAATTAATCATTTACAGCCAATGGAAAGTCCGTGGACGCTACCCAGGAACTGATAGCCATTGGAATGTCAAATATAGGCAATTCGTTTGTTCAATCCTTCCCCGGAACTGGATCTCTCAGTAGAAGTGCCGTGAATAATGCATCCGGCGTACGTACGCCAATGGGTGGCTTGTATACAGGTAAATAAAGAAAATCCGTGAATTAATTAACACTTAGAAATTTGTCAAATATCACAGTTACCGCAACGTCAGAATATCATTTTAATTATTAGCATACGCTTTGGCACTTTATGTAAATATTTGTTACTGAACATCGTAACACTTCTTTTTATTTGCTTACAGGTCTTCTAGTAATACTGGCACTATTGTTCCTAACGCCATATTTCAGCTATATACCAAGAGCCTCTCTAGCAGCCATCATCATTGCTGCTGTTATCTTCATGGTGGAAGTCAGGGTTGTAAAGCCAATGTGGAGAACGAAAAGTAAGAAGTTAATCTTTTAAAAAAATATTAAGTAACCATCAACCGAAACGGGTTTCTCGTCCGATAAGTGACAACCTCAAGAGATTCATGTGAACGACTTTTCCAATTGTTCAGACTGAAATCCATTAGTTTCATAACACGTTACATGATCGACCCACCTACGTATTATATATGCGTTAAGATCTTGAGTAAGTCAAAAAGAAAAGAGAGAGACCCCATATAAAATCGATAGCAAAGTGGAACGCCTGGTACCGCGTGACTAGCTGAAGGGCTTCTTGAATTTGAATCAAGGTAAACGACCGTTTCGGAATAATAACGATGTGCATTAATAAGTAATGACACGCCCGACTTGTGAAATTTCAATAAAAAGAAACAACGATGACATAGTCGTGAAAAGTCACGAGACTCATTTATCCAGTTTATACAGGATCTCCTTGAGATGCAGAAACCAGTTGCGTAATCAGACTAATTTATCAAATGTGAAATGTATACTGAATCACGTGCGTTAATATATTTATATATGCTTATTGTACATAATGTTTACCTGCCAAAAGTACACGTCGACGATACACGTGTCCGCCACTGCTGATGTTATTTGAAACACTTTTTATATGCTGGTAAAATCGTCTTTTCAGAATCCGATCTTATACCTGGTCTGGGTACATTCATAGCCTGTTTGGTACTTCAGCTGGAAATTGGAATTCTCTGCGGTATTGGAATTAACGTACTATTCATTCTGTATCATGCGGCAAGGCCTAAGATCTCTGTAGAGAAACTCCTGGTAAGTATATACATGATTATGAAAAAAGATAACTGTTTCCGTTCACGATTGAGTTTCAATTCTATAATATTTAATTTTCTAGACGTGTTGTGGCATTGAGTACCTAATGCTCACGCCCGATCGTTGCCTAATATTCCCATCGGTGGATTACGTCCGGAACCTGGTGACTAAGTATAGCCGTCGTGGAGGTAGCGTCGAGACGCCTGTGGTTATCGATTGCTCTCATATTTATGGTGCTGATTTCACGGCTGCTACTGTCATCGAGACTTTGACAAAGGACTTTGCTGCTCGAGGACAACCCCTCTTCTTCTATAATCTCAAACCCTCGGTGTACGCCGTTTTCGAGGGCGTCGCTCCTACTGACTTTGTCGTTTATTATACCCAGGAGGCGCTCGACGATCTGCTCAAGGAACGAGGCTACTTCAAGCAATTAAAACAAGACGTACCACCGGCATAGGACGTTTCTCAATATACATCAAGACGTCCAGTGGGCGTTACGATCCGTCCGAGTTCAGGGTGCACTCGATGCACGTATACAATGAACGGTATTAAATTTGTAAAGTTGTTAAAGAAAGGAAGTCCCTGTGGAAGAAAGACATTTTTTTCTCAAAGAATACAGAGAGAACAGCTTCCCGACATTGGAGTCTCTCAGCGCAACAAGTGGCTCTACGTATGGATACTGAAAAATGTCTTTTTCACAGTGTGAATCGTGAGTATTCGTGAATCTTCATGAAAGTCCGATGAAGACTTTATTTTCACGATTTTTGTGGTACCTGCCAAGTTCAGTACAAGTACACTTTGCTATTGATTCGCTTTGATTTGATTTACATTTGTATCCTGCGAACATATATCAATATGCGATTCAGATTGATTTATTCGTATGGCAATTACGTGAACAAAATAGAGTATAGAGAATAACTAGGCATGAAGCACGAATCAATTACGAATACAGTTCCAAGTATAGAAGAAATCGGTAATAACGATGAACAACATTGTTTGTTAGATAGGATGTAAAATAGATTGTTTCATGTCGATGGCAGATTTTGAGGGATCGACTTGTAAATAACATAATTTCATGATCCTACTGACGAAGAGGGTCATTCCTTTGAATAGTGTTCGAAGAGTATCGAAGGGAGGATTAATAATTCAATATAAATGAAATATATTCAAATGGGGAATAAGGGGTCATTCTTGCATTCTTCTCAAGCAATTTAATGTGACCATTTGGTCACTGTCGATAATAGCATTAGAAACGGTATATAAGATTCCAGCACAATTAGAGAAAAATTTAATTAATCACAGATGGATATATCGGTCGATGATGAATTGTATGAAAATGTAAAAATTTCAAGAAAACTCGTTAGTTTCAATGTCATTGGCTGATTCAACTCGTTGAACGTCTAGCGTGTAGATAATTCTAGCCGATGCTTCGAAGTAAGTTAAAAAATAGAAACAGAGTAACTATCGTAAGCAGTACTGATCTAAAGAATATTTATGCGTAAATTCTTTATAGGTTATATATAATTGTACATCGTTTATTTTATTATAGGTATCACTGTACTCTTCGTCTATAGTGTTTCCTTTTTTTTACATGCGCCATTATAGTATTTGAATATAACGTTACTCAAGTACTTACCTCAATTGATTAGGACGTCGCGACGCCCTTTGGCGTCACGTATTTATCATTTCTTGGCAGCAGTGTTTTCTCTTTCCATTGTCATAGCGTCAGCCGAGTGTCCTGTATAAATATAAATGTCCAAGTGTGCCCTAAGAATATACGGCAGAACGGTAAAACGAAAGAGAGATAAGAAAATTAAAAGAAAAAAGAAAAGTCCTGTAACACCGGGTGACTCTGGAGCATCGCGTGTTGCGTTAGAATTGCGCAAAATTGCTTCAACGGCAGCATCTATATGTATATATATATATAAATATTAAGTTTAAAAATACTGTGATAATTTTTGTATGAAAAGAGAAATCAAATAAAAGAGGGATAACAAAAAAAGAACTAAGCATATACAAGAACAAGATCGACGATAAGAATAAATTTACAATTTATGTCGACGATGTTGGGCCGTTACAATAAAACATTTAATTATTTTAAGCAAACGTCGCCGTGACGCTCTCTCGTTGTTCCTGTTACTAAGCGATTGAAGGGTATTAACAATAAGAATAAGAATAAATAAAAAAAAAATACAAGATAAGAAGGTAATTCGGTTAATCCTGTTACATAATGGGTAATCGAATAATAAAATGGCATGACTCAACCGATAGCTATTGAAAATGACCTGCAACCACATACATATTTCCGGTTTCCAATGTACTATAACAGCTACAAGAATAATAGTATCGAATCAAAAATGTTGCTTCTGATTAAACATAATCGTTATCAAGTAAACAATTATTGAGTAATGGAAGCTATATAATAATAATAAAAAACAGGTAAACTGATCAATTTATCGTTAATACAGTATATTTATAAATACGATATTGCTCCTTTTACAGTATACTTATTCTTTTAATCTTAATTTCATTTAATTAATTGTAATTACACGATCCCATCCGTCCTCAGGACTTCGTCTTACGGACGATTATTGTTTACACGTTACATGTATACGTATATATATATATCACTATGTATATAGATATATATCTTGAGCAAAAGCATCGTGCCGAATTTACTCGTCACATCGTGCACTTTCAATGCGTGCTGCACTTTTCGATGAGAGATCATTACAATGATCTTTCACTCTGTACGTATTGATAACGTGATATGCACTATCCCTCAATATCATTAATTATCGACATATTTATTAATCAGATTCTTTCTGAGTCGCATACATTTCGCAAAAAAAAAGAAAATATCTGTACACCTGTTACACCCATCTTTCATTTATATCATAATCCAATGAACACTCCTCAATTTTATTGTATATCTATCCTAGGTACTGCGACTAGAGGTACATGATACTTATTCTGTGGTTAGCGTCAACGTTTTGTACGCATAGAAATTGCATAGAAATGGCGCTAGTGATTTATAAAAGTGAACGACAAAATAAAATATAATCATAGTCGCGTATTTGTTTATAAGGTAAAACAGGCTTCGAGCTCTTCGAGTACTTATTACGTCGAATATAATATATGCTTATGGTACAGGTCTATATTTATATGTGTAACGAGGAAATTGATAACAGATTACCAAAATATATGCTCGAGGTTACTGGGAATTGCATAACTCGGATTTCCTCGTTTGTCGCCAATGAGTTAAAAAAGATAAAGAAATTATTACAAAGAATCATCGTAGTAAGCTTTTTTAAAAAATCAAATTAGCTAAGAGTATTATCTTGATAACTGGCAATCACTAATCGTTTACTATACAAATGTATATCGATAACTAAACCTTCTGCCAGTTAATTGTACAGTAATAATGAAGTATGCTAAAAATTGACTGCGTTGCATTGGGCTAGCTGTACGATATGTTTTTCTATTTTTAAATAGAGTCATCATTGGCCGTTACTAAGACCATTCAAAATCCATACCGGTCAACTGGTAAAAGCGCTGATTGAACGGCCTGTAGAAATCTCGTAACCGTTGTACAGCTGTTGGGTCGATATGAGGATGACTGCGGCCTTTGTTCTTCCCTTGAAATATACAAATGTTTTTGATAATATATTATCTTGTACATTGCTAACGTAGAGTATGGAGAATAATAGTCAAAAAAAAGAAAACGAAATTTAAGAGCAATTAAATTCTTTGAAATATCTTGTCCGGCGACAAGCAGACTCATGAGTTAATGTAAACCTGACCTGACTTCGTGAACATTGATTTATGCGACTAGTACGTATATCATACATACATATCATCACGTGCCATATGTAAACATATTAATTCAAGTACATGTACGCATGGACTCTAAAAGAGCGTGAAATCAGGCCAATCATTTTGATTTATTCATTGCGTATCAATGCCGATATCTCGTGTGTGCTTTTTTGTCATTTTTTTAAAATCATACTTCATCGCACAAGTATTTCGTGTACTTACCAAGACAGTGAGGCGTGGCTCGTTCCTTGGATTTTAATAGGCATGGAAAACCCTTGGTTGTATTAAAGTAAAAGTGTTTCTCGCATATAACGCGTTTCAGTCCCAGGAAGTCTTGAACTCTCGTGACCTCGATTACAGGATCGGCTATCAGACGCTCACCGGATACGAAGAGAAGCTGCGAGAGTGGAAAATACTGGAGCCATCTTTCCAAATGTCGGGCATAGACTCCTATCTTTAACGGGGCCCATGTCGTATCCACTACTTGTGATCCGTTGAGGAAGGCCAGCTCCTCGAATCTTGGCATCTTGATACGTTTGCTCTTGGCCTGAGTGTAATCGGAAATGGCTCTTGTAACCGGATCACGTACTACCACAATCAATTTAGTGCCTGGATTCATGTGCTGAACTCTTCTTGGCGCTTCGGCCGTTACGAAATAAGACGGTGTCTTCTCCATGGTGATCTGGCCGTCTAGAGTAGGCGGCATTCTGTGCCTGTGAGAATAAAAATATTCCTTGTTATAAATAATTAACAATACTTATATTATCATAATTAATTTTATAATATAAATACATTGGAGTTACAGTTTTACCAACCTGTACCAGTGAAAGCCTTTGGCATAGTGATGATCAAAGAAATGGACCTCTGAACCTGCTGCTTGGATATCCGGATGCAAACGTAGGAACTCTAATAGAGCCCTAGTGCCACCCTTTTTCACGCCGATTATTAATGCGCTTGGTAATTGACGACTTGGAGTTAAACCCTGCTGTCGCATTACGTGATTTTTGGGAATTACGTCTATGGCGTCTTTCAGAGTTTCATTGTTCGTCCATAATGGTACCACCTGGACCTTCGTGATCCTTGGATCGAGACTTGCGATATTATTTAATGGAATTTCTTCGACCTTCGCTTCAACAATGTTGTGGCTATTCGACGTGCCATTCAATTCCGATACTGGCTTTACTTTCTGCAGTGTCATTCGCCTTGAAATTCCTCCGAAGAAGCAGGAACTGTCGTTCAGGATGACCCATACCAGTATCAGCAACAGACAGCTAACCACGACTACTCTCTTTGTCCAAAAATACTTCCGCAATTCCATCCTGCCTTATCTGGCTCAAGATCTTCCGTAATTCGCCGGAACTTGCATTTCGGATGCTCACGCTCAGACTTCGTCTTCTCAAGACGCGTTTAATACTTGATTGACATCTGTAAATTAATAGTTGACTCATTTTAATCACACTTGTCAATGACAATCATACATGTATCTGTATACATAAATCATCTGCTTAATTGAAATGTCAAGCTACCGCGATGATATGACCAATAAATTATTGGAATCAAGATTAATCATTATCGAGCATTTTTTTATTTAAATTATTAGATTGGCGTCTACGGTCGGTCTGTGATGTTATTTTCTTTTCCAGGGACTATCTTCTTATGGATGTCAACGTATAGGAGTTTTGTATCTGGAATTGTTATGGTTAGGTTAGGTTAGTAACAAGCAGGCAACTGTGACAGCAATCGCGCAGCAAGGCACTATATATGAATTGTCGGCAAAACCGTAGGAATATGCATCCTCATTTGTTGCCTTATTAGCACCAATACATGGTTCAAACATTAAGCAGCAAACTAATTGCATGCAAGACTTGCAGTGTTGTTCTATTCTCTAAAAATTAATCAGTGACTATTCACTGATGATCAGTCGAAATTTAAAGTGAAGCACTGAAAACTTATATGGAGGTGGCACTCGCTAAGAAATTCCTAACAAATTGTTATTTTGTTTAAGTAATTATTTTTTCTACCATATTTGCAACATACATTTACAACAAGAGCAGCACAAATGAATCTACTTTGCTTGCTGCAACTATTGCCGAGTTTTTGCTGAATATCTGCTGGCATTATTATCTTTGTTTCTATTTCAAATTTCAAGCACAGTCTCAGAAAACCTTTACGGAAAAATATTTCAATTTTTGCACAGACACGTTGATTTATGTGGGTAAAGTTATCTCTCGCGCGACTTAACACTATGCGATACGTTGATTTACTGTCAGTTACAAGAAACTTCCTATATGCAATTCCAACCGACAATTTATACTATGATAGTCATATCATGATAATAGTTTACGAGTGAACAAATAGTTTATAGCTAGGAGTATGACGTCAATTGTCAATGAAAATCATATAAAAATGAAAATAATACAGAAGCGGTTGGTAGAAACAGATAATAATAATTCGCATTGTTGCCTCCCGTTAGATGTATAATAACTTGTTAATTCCAACAGGTTCTGTACTTTGTTGAATTTTGATTACAGTATAAATTTCCTTATTCTATCTATACTCACAGCTGTTTGTGATAATGTTTAGACAGACTCCAGCGGCGCCTCTTCGCGCCATCGGATTTTGGGATTGACATTCATCTGTCTGGTATCACACCACGTTAACAAGTATTTAGAGACATCGGTTTGTCAAAGGAAAACACATTTTTACACCTTGTTATCAGACGGTATGCCTCTCAGATCGATAACGCACGGGGTAGACACTGGGGAGAGGCGTAACTGGGAATAACAAACGTTGATGAGAAATGTGAGTTGCCAAATTGTGTGTTACGATATTTTAGGGGGTCTTCTTGTATTACTTGTCTTTGATCTTTATCTTATCATTAGCTTCTCATTTCTTGTACTTTGCGCGGAAATTCATTCAACTTTGTACGGATTGAACTTTTATGTCAAATTTCACGTTGCCTGTCGCGATGTGGTATATGGGAATACGTCAGTGGTGCACTCTGGGTTTCGATTTTGATCCTTTGTAAGTTGATTTTAATTATATATGATATTAATGGATTAAATATACATTGATAAAGGTTAAAGAAGAAGAGAACATTAATAAATTAGAATCAAGAAGTGTAGAGCTTGATCAAGTTTTTTTATTATTGAACTCTTGAAGATTGAGTAAAGTATTGCACGTGTTGTGTAAAATTAATTACATATAGAAAACTTTAAGGGTTTTTCAAATAATTTACAATGAGGCAAGTGGCACAGATTTACAAATATTTTTTATAGTTGCAACAATATTTTATAAAAGTAGTTGAACGATATATCGATACATGGTAAAGGCGGCCCCCTCCCATTGTTGGAGCATTGTTACCGACCAAGTTCACGGCTTCTTTTAGAGAGACGTTGATTGGTCTGAATATTGAGGCGGATATTCAGAGAACAATTTTTATATTTATTATTGTATCGTGAATATGATTAAGAGTTATTATAAACGCATTTGTTCAAGCCATTGTATCAGAATTGTATAGATCAACTCTTATGCTAATTTTATTGCTAAATTCTTTTTTTTTCGTTTTAATTCCAACGGAACTGTCACTTTATATTGTCGCCATGGAGTTACCCATGATCAACCCGTAATAGCGTTGCAATACGTCACATCCAGGACGCCAAGAAGATCATGCGGTTATTTCCGGGTTGGCAACCGAAAGATCCATTTCCTTCTTGCGAGCGCGTGAGAAACGTTGTGTTGCTGCTTATAAGATTGGTGAAAAATCCGCGGGCATCGGCGGATTTTGACGGCCCTCAATAAGAAATCAGGTAATATAACATAAAATGAGTGTTATTCAGGAGGTGTGGAAGTTAATTTTTTTATTTTGGTATTTAACGGTTGTAATAAATAGATGAGACCGGCATCTACGTATAGGTAGACATCTTGGGATGCCCACGACAAATTGTTTAATTGAAATGTGTAATGTTCTTAGAACAGTTACTTTTGAATAGGAAGCAAATTATTTGTTTAGGAATAATGAAATTTTTAGGTCGATTAGTTTTGTTTTTATACTTTCCGAAATGCACTGGCCAGTACTGCGAGCATGGTTATGTCGCACCCGATTGCGTGCGGCTAAACATGGACAACCATAAACGTAGTCATGGCAGTGAATTTCAGAACGTATTCGTGATTGTTGGATTTATGTATGTACCAAGGAATTGTTGTATTGATTGTTAAATAACAGTTTTTCATGCTCCGATTAAACTTCTATAGTCCCATTTGTTGGGAAGAAATATTATTTGCAAGCTTAATTGTGGTCTTCATAATTTTTTTAATTTAAATTTGAGTAAGAGCAATGAAATATTTTGTTACAGGATGACTGTGTGATTGATCCGTGTGCCAAGCACGGAGAGGACTGTTTCTATACTTAATGATCGAACTTGAAATAATCAAAAATGTATTTGTACAATTTGACACTGCAACGTGCCACAGGCATCACACATGCCGTGCATGGAAACTTCTCAGGAAGTAAGATGCAAGAGATCTTGGTTTCCAGAGGAAAGTCCTTGGAACTTCTTAGGCCAGATCCAAATACTGGAAAAGTGCATACATTATTGACTGTTGAGGTTTTTGGAATCATAAGATCATTGATGGCCTTCAGACTTACTGGTGGAACGAAGGATTACATAGTTGTTGGATCCGACTCGGGTCGTATTGTGATCTTGGAATATATTCCTGCAAAAAATGTTTTTGAAAAAGTGCATCAGGAAACCTTTGGAAAGAGTGGCTGCAGAAGAATTGTTCCTGGCCAGTATTTGGCTATCGATCCTAAAGGACGTGCTGTTATGATTGGTAATGTATTATTTATGTTTTCCTATTTGATACATAATTTTATCGATAATTGAGTTCCAAGTGATGATTTATCAGTCCGTGTTTCAACTGATAACCTTGATTATAAAAATTCTGATACTGATGGTACTTCTATGCTTCAGCAAAAATCCTGAATTATAACTTCAAAAATCATCTAATACAATTTGTATTTGTTCATACAGGTGCCATTGAAAAACAAAAGCTCGTTTACATTCTAAACAGAGATCCTGAAGCTCGACTTACAATTTCCTCACCATTGGAAGCTCACAAAAGTAACACCCTAGTATATCACACTGTGGGTGTAGATGTCGGTTTTGAGAATCCAATGTTCGCATGTCTTGAAATTGACTATGAGGTATGTTCTAACATTTAAATTTCAAATAAAGTATCTGTTAGTTTTCTTCTATGAAAAACAATCTTGTAATTCTCAGGAAGCTGACAGTGATCCAACGGGCGATGCTGCAGTCAAGACGCAACAAACCTTAACCTTATACGAATTAGATCTTGGCTTGAACCATGTTGTTCGCAAATATAGTGAACCTCTAGAGGAGCATGCAAATTTCCTTGTGTCTGTTCCTGGAGGAAACGATGGACCCAGTGGTGTACTTATTTGTTCTGAGAACTATTTGACATACAAGAATCTTGGAGATCAGCATGACATCCGCTGTCCAATTCCCAGGCGAAGAAACGACTTGGACGATCCTGAGCGTGGAATGATATTCGTCTGTTCAGCGACGCATAAGACAAAGAGCATGTTCTTCTTCCTGGCACAAACAGAACAAGGAGACATATTCAAAATCACATTAGAAACAGATGAAGATATGGTGACTGAAATCAAATTGAAGTATTTCGATACTGTACCTGTTGCAACAAGCATGTGTGTTCTGAAAACTGGCTTTCTATTCGTTGCTTCTGAGTTTGGAAATCAGTGAGTATGCTTATCCTTTTAGATAAATATCATTATATCTACATCTGAATGAAGTAACAGTTGTTACGACATACTCCTTATCTTGTTACCATTACTTTATGATTGTTTCTTTTTCAGTTACCTTTATCAAATCGCTCATCTTGGAGATGATGACGATGAACCAGAATTCAGTTCTGCAATGCCTCTCGAAGAGGGAGACACATTCTTCTTTGCTCCAAGACCACTACGTAATTTAGTGTTAGTCGATGAGATGGACAGCTTATCTCCTATCATGACGTGCCAGGTAACAGAATTGTTTAATAATTGTATCTCATTGTCACCACAAAACAAGGCATCTCCAAGTAGAGGACTGATTTATTGCGATCTTTTCTCTGTGATGTGATGCGAGAAAAAATATTCTTTGTCGCCTTTAATTTGTTATTGCAAATTGAAGTGAACTCAAAGAATGACAGCGTCATCAGTCAGAGTTGAAATTGATAAAAGCAATATTTTCAATTAATACTTTCTATTACTTATTGATTACTATTCTCATCAGGTTGCTGATTTAGCAAATGAAGATACACCTCAGTTATACATGGCATGCGGAAGAGGTCCTAGATCTACGTTACGAGTATTACGACACGGTCTTGAAGTTTCCGAAATGGCGGTCAGTGAACTTCCGGGAAACCCGAATGCAGTCTGGACTGTCAAAAGAAGAATAGACGGTTAGTTCGCTACATACTGGTCCTTCCAATAATCACAATTCATTCTTTTAAGTATCACCTTTTCCCTACGATCCTGTATGACATCCTGAATTTTGAAAATCAAAAAAAAAATTCCGCCATATCCGGCCATTCTAGAAAACATTCATAAAACTCATTTCCATTATTTTTTTTAGGCTTTTGATTAAAAATCGCAATACACTTATTCTTTTTCTTTTTGTTAAAAGTAAAACTCCATTTACAGTTTTACATAATATTCTGAGAGGATTCTATTGTTATGGAAAACTACACTAGTGTAACGTAAGTCTATGATAGGAAGAGTATATAGTCGTCGTCCTACATGAGAATTCTTAATTATATAATTTTATACATATATTATTTATCCATGATAAAGAATTTTCTAACCAAAATACTGAGATCCATTTGAGTTTCATGTCAGACGACAACTAAAGTGCGCCATAAATGAATTTCCAACAATATCCACAATTAAACCATTAATACGCCCCAATTGATTATATAACGGTATCATCAAAGAGTTAATCTTTTAACCAAATACAAAATGGAGAAACGCGTCTCATTAAAAGTCGCACAACGGCCAAAATTGCATTTGAAGCTTTAATAACAAACACGACCAAGTTCTCGTCGTCCCGCGTGCACGTCATTCGCTCAGCGTGAAATAGACGCCTAAAAAAAATAAAGATCAAAAAGAAAGCAAGCCGAATGTTAAGTAAATGATGATAACGAACCTGGTGGCTTGATACACTCTTATCAAACACCAGTTCTCTCTTTCAGGCTGCCTGCGCGCTATTGGTTGACTGACGCGGTGCTGAATGACCGAAAGGTAAGGACTCTGTACGATTGTCTCGAGGAAGAGTCGACGCGCTTCAAAAGAATAAAAAGATAAAAGATAGTCCAGCTTCACAATGAAAAAAAAATAGAAATGAAAAAAAGAAAATTCAAACAGAGACAAAAAAAAATAAAGACCCTTTTGCGCGCATCATACGGAGAAACTTACAGGAACGCGACGCACGGAATTATCTATAAATTCACTACCGCCCCCATCTTAGGCTCCATTATTAATTACTTTCTTTGATAATCTGGACGAGTTCTTTGATTTCGGTTACAGAGGAGTATGATGCGTACATCATAGTGTCCTTCGTGAATGCCACTCTTGTGCTTAGCATTGGCGAGACTGTCGAGGAAGTGACAGATTCCGGTTTCCTTGGTACTACGCCGACGTTGAGTTGTTCTGCTCTTGGAGAAGATGCTCTTGTACAGGTAATTAATGTTTTACATTATCACTATATTATGCACTACGGTATCTCCGGCGCCTGGTCCTCCACGCGTCGGTCGCAATAACAGTGCTAAATGAATGTTTTGGCTATCGCATCGTTGGAGTATTTAAGAAATTTGCTAAATATTCCTGGTATTAAAGCCGCGACAGAATTATTCCTCGGAAGCTATTGATTGCAACAGATCAATTAATTCCGGTTGATTATTCATTAATACAGTTTTTATATTTGGTTTCAGGTGTATCCTGATGGTATTCGGCATATTCGAGCAGATAAGCGTGTCAATGAGTGGAAGGCACCTGGCAAGAAGACCATTGTTAAATGTGCAGTTAATCAGCGTCAAGTTGTAATTGCACTTACTGGAGGGGAGCTTGTGTATTTTGAAATGGATCCCGTGAGTGTTATTTATTGTCGAGTAATCGTGATTATTTAATAATTACGATAAACCGCATTACTTGTTCTCCCTGCGATCTTCGTCGTGTCGTTGAGGATGTAAGATATGCGAAGATTAATTAGCTATTGTCGCCTTTGATCGGTAATGATTATCGGTTGAAGTGAATCAATAGCTAACAAGATTATCAAAATACTGCGGCGTATCGAAACGTGGATTTAATAATTTACTGAATTGAATGGTAAAATTGAAAGTTAGTGATTGGAGTATTTATATGATTTTAGACGGGTCAACTGAACGAATATACGGAGAGAAAGAAAATGCCGTCGGAAGTAATGTGCATGGCACTTGGAAATGTGGCTGTTGGAGAGCAACGATCCTGGTTCTTGGCTGTTGGTCTTCAGGATAATACTGTCAGGATCATCTCACTGGATCCTTCAGATTGTCTTGCTCCGAGGAGTATGCAAGCGTTGCCAGCCGCTGCTGAGAGTCTCTGTATCGTGGAGATGGGTGCTAAGGATTCCGATAATTCAGAGGACCTGGCACCGCAGCAATCCAGTCTGTATCTTAATATAGGTAGGTTAATCCTAATTCTGATTGATTATAAGCATCACGTGGGGCTTTGGATTATTTTAGTGTAATAATGATAATTAATTACTTGTTTAGGCTTACAAAACGGCGTATTACTCAGAACAGTATTAGATCCTATATCCGGTGACCTCGCTGACACCAGGACCAGGTACCTGGGTTCACGACCTGTAAAACTATTCAGAATAAGAATGCAAGGGAACCAGGCAGTGCTAGCTATGTCAAGCAGATCCTGGCTGAGTTATTATTATCAAAATCGTTTTCACTTGACGCCATTGTCATACGAAAGTCTGGAGTTTGCCTCCGGGTTCAGTTCTGAACAGTGTCCTGAGGGTATCGTAGCCATCTCCACGAATACCCTTAGAATTTTGGCTCTGGAGAAGCTCGGAGCTGTCTTCAATCAAGTCAGTTTCCCCTTGGAGTACACTCCCAGGAAGTTCGCTATTCATGCGGATTCTGCGCACCTGCTGCTCATTGAAACCGAGCATAATGCTTATACGGAAGAGACAAAACAGCAGAGACGCTTGCAAATGGCTGAGGAGATGCAGGAGGCTGCTGGCGCTGAGGAAGCTGCAGTTGCACGTGAATTGGCTGAAGCTTTCTTATCCGAGGAACCCAACGAGGCTGTCTTCGGAGCTCCCAGAGCAGGTCCAGGATTGTGGGCTTCGCTCATAAGGATCATAGCACCCACAACTGGACAAACGTTGGAGTTGCATCGTTTGGAACAAAACTACGCTGCCTTATGGTGAGCGAAATTTTTATTCGACAAAAATTCTTTTTTATATTTATACCATGTAAAAAACACGACTTTGAACGTATAACCAGTTAAGTTTAACAAGACTTTATTTATGTGCAGCTTGGGCTTGGTGAAGTTCGCTAATCAGGGAGATCAACAGTTTTTAATTGTTGGCGTAGCCAAGGATTATCAACTCAATCCAAGACTTAGCAATGGCGGCTTTCTTTATACTTACAAGTGAGTTTCTATTTAATATAAAAGTAAAGTATATGCAAAAAGCGTAATTGTGTATGATGACAAAATCACACTCTCTGACTATTGATGAGAATCCTGCAGTACTGACACGCGTATCAGTATAATAATTAATTTCTTTGTTATTGATTTATTATTTAATGTGATATCTTTGTCTCTTGCAGAGTGAACGCAGAATGTACAAGTATAGAATTGCTGCACAAGACTGTCCTAGACGAAGTTCCATTGGCTATATGTTCCTATCAGGGTCGTGTGTTAGTAGGAGTCGGCAGGATGTTGCGTCTTTACGACATGGGCAAGAAGAAGCTCCTGCGTAAATGCGAGAACAAGCACATTCCCAACGCCGTAGTATCTATAAATGCTGTTGGTCAGAGAATATACGTAAGCGATGTCCAGGAGTCGGTCTACGCAGTCAGATACAAGCGGCAAGAAAATCAATTGATAGTATTCGCCGATGACACTCATCCAAGATGGATAACAACCACCTGCGTATTGGATTACGACACAGTAGCGACAGCAGATAAATTTGGCAACATAGCTGTGGTAAGTGTTAAACACCATAACGTATAAATGCAGAAAATATATCTCATATTAATAATCAAAAGTGTATACGGCCAAAATTGTAAATATTCATGACTGATTCATTTGTTATTCAGATTCGACTGGCCAGCGGCATTAACGATGATGTCGACGAGGATCCCACCGGTAACAAAGCTCTGTGGGACAGAGGTTTATTAAATGGCGCCAGTCAAAAGGCAGACACAGTTGCTTGCTTTCACATCGGCGAGACTGTCATGTCCTTGCAAAAGGCTACCTTAATTCCCGGCGGATCAGAGAGTCTTGTTTATACAACACTAAGCGGCACCGTCGGCGTCCTTGTACCGTTCACCAGTCACGAGGATCACGACTTCTTCCAACACTTGGAAATGCACATGAGATCGGAACATCCGCCACTCTGCGGCAGGGATCACCTATCCTTCAGGTCATATTATTATCCCGTGAAGAACGTCATCGACGGCGACCTCTGTGAACAATTCAATTCCATTGAGCCTGCCAAGCAAAAGAGCATCTCCGGCGACCTGGAGAGGACGCCATCGGAAGTCTCGAAGAAGCTAGAAGACATTCGAACCCGTTACGCCTTCTAAAATGTCTCTGGATCCGTTGACGTTGCGAAACTAGACTTACGGTGTGTTCGTGAAATCATTAATAAATTAAATGAACAATTAAATTCGCACTTTTGCGAGCCAAAGAACGTACGAAGTAAGATTTCCATTGATCGGACATGTATTTATTATCAAACGACCTTTCGTTTTCAATAAAAACTACAGTTAAAGGAAATCAGTACGATCTTGCGTTAATATCTTGTATGACGGGTGACTTAAATGAAAGTAGTCACAGGTTACCCGTGATTTCATTTAATAGTCAGAAAAATGAAATTGACCAAATAGTTACTCTCATGGAATTCCGATGTATCGAAAAATACAATACAATTGAACATGTATTAAACATATGTTGAAACATGCTCCGACATAATATAACCGTGCATTGTAATTTGGATGCATCTGTATTTCAGGAGAATTTCATGAAATTTCATTTCAGTCGTGTGGTACGTTCGGATTTTTGACAATCAGGTGAAATCACGAGTGCCAATACTGTGTTCGGATCAAAAGTATATTTAGCTGCTATTTTAATCTGAGCCTACCCAGTGTATTTAAACGATAAAATAGATTGTTATACATTCGCATAAAAATCGTGTGCACACTCAGTGGCATAGAAAATTATAATGACAAAGTAAAATGATTTTTTATTATTTCAACATTGTTTTAATTCCGGAATACATACGTTGTTTTAACCTCTTACAAAAATTCTAATGGATTACGTCCACAGTTGCAATACGTTAGTTACGTCCACATGTAGCAATAATACAAACCCTGTTACTGAAAAAAATGGCAGACTTCAAAGCAACTATAGTGTGATAATACATGTACGTCATTACACGTTCCGTATAAACAATTCTGATAAACGCATAATTAATGATCTCGTTAGCGAGACGAATTGCTGCGATGAAAATCAACCCCAGTAATTCGTCTCGCTCCTCACCACCCCGTATACAGAAACAGTAATGCTTTACGAGAGCATTAGCATTTACAGAGAGTTTTGATACCGTCTGTCATACAGCGACAGGATAAGCCAATGGATTAAAACTCAAAGGTTGAACGTTAAATACAGTCGTTAATTTTTATCTTACGTTTCACAGCATTTTTCATGTAATACTTTAAAACTTAAAATATGCTTAGGAGGTTACAATTTATATCCGCAAGTTTCAGATCGTTCATTGTAAACCTTTAGAAATATCCTTTAAATCCGTTTCAAAGTGCTTCACGCTTACTACTTTTACTTGTCTTTTGTTGTCATTCATATTTAATCCAAAAAAGGCACGAGTTCCCCTTGCGGAACATCTGATGCGCTTATCCGAGAAAACCTTTTACATGAAACTTCACCTGAATTCAAAAGCTAGGAACGGCATCACATTTGTGTAAAGTGCTACGTTCCTGGCACGTTGCACCAGGGTACCAGCTATCCCTGGAATACGTTGATAATGCTTCCGTGTATTTCAAACGTACCATGAACGGCTTTTAAACGCGTGGCCGAGTAAGGAGGTCGAAGCCGGATATTAAAATAATAAAAGAAGAATGAAGAAATGCGTGGTGACACTCCAACAAAGAGTACAAGAGAACTATACAGATAATTCAAAGCGAGATAACCGAATACTATGACTTTCTTGGGAAATGTATACGTTAAATATAAATAATAGAATTAAAGATATTAAATGTACTGTCTTTTGTAAAGGATTGATTATTTCGACTGAGTGAAAAATACTTAATTATAATTGTCTGTAATATTTTGTTGTCTTCAAGGAATGGGACTATCGTTGTTATCTTGCTTTGCAATTTATAATTAAATTTTCATGCATTTATCTACAGTTGCGCTTAACGAACTGGATTTTTATGTAATATACAGCCACTTCGAAAATTGTATCTACCAGTTTTAGAATCCCTAGTAATTGAGAGCTTCGCGAGAGCACTCGGTCGGTATTTGTAATTCTAGAAGGATGCTCTTGGCGTGGTTGCTCTTGCGTTCTGGTACAGACTGATATTCTGTATCATCTTCTCACTGCATAATGTAAAGTGACGTTATGCCTCGGAGAGCATGTAGCCTCTCTTCGTACTCTGGTTGATGAAACTTTTCGTACACTCTGTATATTTAACTGGTGAACTTATTTTCTCTGATAACTCGCTGCAGATGTATATATTTTATTACGGCGAACGCATTTCTACATTAATAACTGAATTAATTTGAATTTATGTAAACCGAGTAGCTGTTTGCTGGTTACTTTACTTTGCTCAATAAGTATTTCTCGAGAATTTAATGTATTTTGATTTACTGGGTCACTCTTAATCTTTTTTCTTTCTTACTGCACTATCGAATATAAAGGTAAATACAATTTAAGTGCGCGGGCTGATTGAAATTTTATATTTTTTCTCTGTCTTTTTTAACTCAAATTATTGTCAGCTTACGTAGCTTTACGATTCTTTTAAGATTTAGTATTGATAAGGTTCGCACTGTATTGATAAGATTGAAACTATAATAAAAATTGATGTTTTTTTAATATATACAAATTTTATCATACTTTGAGAATATTATGGTAAATTTTTGAATGGTTACTTGCAAACTATTTGTATCGGTTTTTTGCAGAGGTGACTTTTGAAAATTCTTTGACATATTCATATTTCATTATTTTTATCCAACCATATGGCCGCAATTGTTTATCTTTTAACAGTGATGCCATTGTGAAGAATCTGAGAAGAATTAAACCGATGCTCGTTAATGAAAATATTTTCGCTGTATAGTAGGATTTACACTCAGTACGATCGTAGAGATGGTGAATAATACAGAGTATTCATAAATAATTATTCCCTTTTGACAGAATATTACGTTCTCGTCGATCATCCGAAAAGTGCAATTTCGTATGAAAATATCGTTCCCATAGTCTATATTCCATATACACATACGGCGAGTAAAGCCAGAAATATAGTAGACGGATCGATGATTCACGTTTCCCAGAGCCATTTTCAATTTCATTATTTCACATGAGCTGGTAGACATTCCGAATTTCGCCAAAAGTTTCAACATTATTTAAAGAAGTTTTGAATTCTGTTGGCAATGTAGTACGTGGAAAAATTATTCACTCGAGTTATACAGTCTGTCGCAAGTAGTGCATCCGGTATGCGTTTACGGTGTAGAATTTTATTCCGACACAAAAATAGAACGTATATAATAAAAATGTAAACTTAGCAAAACTTCAGAGAATATTGAGTGTATATATTTTTATTTTTTCTCTTTAATATCTCCGCGTCGAAGCGCGCCGACATTTTTCTGGCTTTGACTACGTAGTCGAATGGAGGCGCGCGACAGTATATATTATAACGCTGATTTCACAGGGTGAATTAAAGTTGCCGCTTCTCTGGAAACCCCAGAAAGGACTGCCGAGCGTCGTAACGCGTGACAATCTGAAAGTCTCTTCAAACAGAACTTGATGAAAGAAGCTTTGATATCATGAAGCATAGGGATATTTGACTGGCCTGATATAAAAAGAGGTACTTGTGGAAGGTTCAAAAGTTCTCCTTAATATTTTTTATATTTTTTTAATTTAAGAAATTCTGTACACTACTTTACCTGCCAAATATTCTCAGCAATCATCGGACTCGTTGGTATAATGGAAATTGACAAATTGTAATCTGAAAGTTTCGCATTTGATTTAAATTTGAATATTAACGATTTAACGTATCAGCGAGCAAAAATGAATTTTTCCATTATCTCGTAAAGGATCGAATACGAATAATTTTTTATATACCATTTATTCTCGGGCAATGCACTTTTATTTTCAATGTTTCAATGCACGGCTGTAATTGTACCTTAATGGATATTCGAGCACGTCTATGCTTCTGTTCTCTGCAGAGAAGGGGTTACTGTCGAACACTTAAATCGTTTCATAAAGCTACGTAATAACTTGGCAACGGTTGGAAATGTTCATTAAGTACGGCCACAAAAATGCCAGGAGGTTGCTAACTACATAATCCTACATAATCTTCTGTGCACATGTAATAAACCCTTCCGGGAGGCAGTTTGTACACAGGGGTCGTATTTCGAAACAAGTTTTCCTTGCCAAATTGAAATAAGCTTTTTGCACAGATTTGTGTACGTTGGAAACGTTAATATTTGGATAAAACTGTAGCGTACATATAGGACTGGATGTGCGACTCGGCATAAAATTTAAATATCGTTTACATAGAAAATGGACAAATCTCTAGAAAGTGGAATTTGAGTATTGCATAATACAGAAGTAACAAGGACGCGATAGCGCCTTAAGCTTTTTTCACGTGACAAAAGTTTCTTGAAATTACGATAGCAATACGGGTGTTTGAAAATATTTCAAAGTAACACGAAAATTCGCGCCAGGACTGTCTAGTGGTTTATTTTTTATTGCCTCTTCGTAACATTAGTTACTGGTTGGAAAACTTTAAATAACTTAAGACCAATAAAAAAAGAAGGATCGAACAGACAGAAACTTTTGGATAAATCTCCATCTTTCGTTTTCCCCGACAGCCGATCAATCTTTAGTAGTCGGAGGCCTCTCGAATACCGCCGCTAGTTAATCGTTGGGTCGAGCTGCCTTTTGAAAAATAAAACCTCAAGTCTGAAGCAGACCAAAATTCATAAAGCTTTCAAGAAAAAGGCATAAAAAGCTCGCTCCTATCCTCGTCTGGCTATTCATATAGCTATTCACCTATTCACAAGGCCAGTACCCTCTCGTCGATCTCCAACCACCACCATCCATCTTTAATCGTCACTACGAAGCCTTTCGGCCCAAAAGCTAAATCGAGTATTAGCGATAAAAGTAAATCGCAAAGTGGCCAAGACGACTTCGTAAGTGACACCTTCTTATAAGCCACTCAGAATTCCTTTCATAGAAACATGAGACCCTAACCTCAATATTTCCAACCTTTTCAACCTTAATCGTCAGGATAGACCCTTTAGCCAACTCAACCTACATACGTCGGAGTAAAACCATAGTTATAAACTCAATGAACGAGCTGTAAAACGTCTAGGCTCGTCATCTCCAGGAAAAGTTGAGCTCTTAAAGTTTCCGAGTAAAATGTCACAAAAGTCAATTCAACGTATGCGAGACATCGTCACCAGCTTACATATCTACACGGGCAAGACGAGTGCACAGGAAAGCCGCAAGATGGCTGGCACGTTTGACATGAAAAGGAGATAAAAGAATAGGAGAAGGAGTAGGAGTAAAATATATACATTCTAGAGTATGCAGGAGAGAGAAAGAGAAGGCCAATCGTAAAATCGTGAATTTCCAGGACAGCTTACAGCAAGAGAGAAGAGGCTCTCTAGTGTAGGTGGAAGAGTCGAGGGCATTGGAGGGTGTAGATGGGAGCGATCGATGCATCGAGGCGTCGAGACGCCCAGCGGCCAGGTCCTCGAGCTCACCCCAAGCGTCGCGGTGTCGCCTTCGATTATATCCCAAGCCTGTGCAGCCTATGCGTGGCTGCCTTCTAGAGTGCGTGGGTGGTCGCGTGGCTACGTGTGAGCAACGTGCAACCGGCGTGCGTACTTTTTGATGTGTAGTTGCGTGTCGCGTCCCGTGTGACACGACGTGTGTCGCCCGTGACCCGGAAAACACTTCCCAGCGGAAGGCTCGAGCATGCTTCACGAAGCTGCGCGAACGACTCTGCACAAATCCAGGGTAGCGAGTGGCTGCAAAACCGTCTTGTAGCCCGCGTGGTGCTGCCGCTCCTGCTATTGCTGCTGCTGCTGACACTACCACTCGTTGTTGCTACTGCTGTTACTGCTCCTGGTGCTGCTTCTACTACTGTTACGTTACTGTTATACCTGAAGTCAGTCTAACTCGTTGTTCTTAGTGCCGGTCGCTCTACGTTACTACTAATGCTGGCCTGATCTGCTGCATGTTAATATCTTTATGCTACTACTGCCGAGTTTTACTCTCGACCTGCTGAAGATTCTACCTCGACTTACGCGAGATGCCTCCAGCTACCTCGACCTATTGTGACTTCTCTAAAGACTGTGATGCGTGACCCACTGTTCGACGATTATGGTAACGTTGCTCTTTCGTATTCTTATTTCGTATAGATTATTGTCTGTGGGTTATTGCATGCCCTTTTTCTCCTGAGCTGTACTCTTTATTTTTTGTTCACCCTAGAAAATGCATTGCCTGTCTCTCTGAGGAAGGTCTGGGGTTAAGTTTGAGTTTCATGGACAAGCTGATCATGATAATTAGGACAGTCTCTGTTGAGGTTATTTGGCTTGTCAAGACATTCCGTTGGATATTTTTCTAGCTGTAATATTCAAAACTTGTTTCTGGAAGATTGTTAATGTTTTTTTGAAACAAATTCTCTTGTGATAATCTTGAAGATTATATGAACTACGATCTTCTTCCGCTTTATAATAATTTGACCTACGGTATATTCCACTGGGTTTGTACTTCTAACGTATCGATCTGGGATTCAGCGTGAGCATTAGAATCTAATTAGAAATGCCTTAGGTCAACGCAAAACATTTTAGAGGTAATCTAATTGATTTATGCTTCTGATGAATTACTTGGAATTGGAACTTATTAAACGATAAAACTGATCCCACGAGGAAATAAGGAGACAAAATAAATATATGTTGAAAGAAAAATTCAAGTTTGAAAGTTATCATTATGTTGTTTTTTTTCAGTGAGATCTATACTTCTTAATTATTGACTTTCATATTATTAATTTCTTAGCAAAAGCTTTGCTAGTGCTAATTTTCTTTAAAAAGTGCTAAGGCTTGCTTTTTTATCCGTTATGAGTCATAATTGAAGCTTTTAATTAGGATCTTAAAAGTCTCAAGTGTACCCACTTAAAATCTTCTATCACAAAAGCCCTCGGAACGAAAGAACTTTCTTTCGTGCTCTGGGGCAGCACTTATCGTCTTTCATGACATAGATCATACATCCTATATTGCACGTGTCTCTCTTCAGAAAGCGTTAGCGATGAGCTGCATAAAGTCGTTCATAGAATTCTTCAGAGAATAAAAATTGTTCCCACAGATTGTCCCGAGGCAAATAGAGATATGCAAGAGTTGATTGAAGGACCCAAAAAATAAGACAAAAAAAGACTTCTTCGTTCCACATTCCCCAATCAGAATACATCTATTAAATCATATAACGTAGCTATACGGTTTATGATTAATTAATAATAGAAAAATTAAATTACAAAAGGCATAACTGTACTCTGATTAAATACTTGAACTCCAATTTAAAGCCATAACCTAATTCGGTAAAATTAATTATTTATTTCTTTTACGTTTTTTGCCATATTTCAGAGACTCTTTTAAACTAGAGCACTGTGCTCCCATGTCTTTTAGGAGATAGCCGATGCTGGGGGTGGTCAGGAAAGGTATCGACTAGTCGTTCTCACTGTTCTGGTAGCCTTATTAAAAGCAACGAGTGCAGCAGGTGGTGGTACATGTGGTTTAGCCGAATTAACATGTCGGGATGGACACTGCGTCCCATTGGACGCATATTGCAACGGTCGAGATGATTGCGGAGACGGAAGTGACGAGCCAGCACTGTGCACGCCCTGTAACCGCACCTATCACGGTCAAGAAGGTCGAACCTACAAATTGGAATTGCCACGTCCGGTCGAGGGTCGTCTTCCATTTTTTTGCCACTTGACATTCACCGCCGGAGGTCAGGGCCACGGGGAGTTGGTCCAGTTACTTTGGGATGCATTTAGCATAGGGCGACTAGACTCCACCGCTACAGACTTTGCCCTGGGATGCCCCGAAGGATCGCTCCAGCTTGCGGAACTCGGAAGACCCTTCACCGGGGGTTTCTGGTGCGGAGCTGGAGAAGGTAGAGCTTCTTACTACAGCGAGACCAGTACGGTCACTGCATCCATTCGTCTGTTCCACGCACCGCCATCCGTACCCTTCAAGTTCAGATTGCGTTATCGATTCGTGTCCCGCAACGAGGCGATCGCACGTCTTGGTAAACCGGAAATGCCGATCGAGAGAGGATCACCGGTACCTGGAACATACTGTTCAAGAAACTTCTACGAGTGTCATCAGAAGCAATGCCGCGTGCAGAGTCCTAACTACCCTGGAGAATACCCCAGGAACGCCAGCTGTCTAATTACTTTAAGGCAGAAGGAAGTACCTACGTGCAAGCACGCGATGATATCAGTCAGGGCAAGTCCCACGGGACCTGTTGGTCTGGCCATCAATAATTCCACTTTAAGCGTATGGCAGGACTGTCCCTTTGACAGGGACAGACTGATATTCCGGGACGGATCACGTCTTGAGGATCCGATTCTTCTTATTTACTGCGGAGGACCCCTGCCCCGGATCACAGCCAGAGGAACCACTATGCTTGTGGAATTTCGTAGTTCACCATTGGCCATGCCCCTAGGAGCATCGGCCTTGCGGATTGAACTTGATGTCCAGGTCGTTTATGTGGATTCAGATGGACTGGATTATGCAAGGGGTCCCCAAGGTTGTCATTTCTTTGTCAATGAAACTGCCAAGAGGAGTGGTGTACTGCGTGCTCCTCTACATGCTCTGCCACCGGGGTCTAGTTGCACCTGGAACATCAAGGGAGCCACTGGAGATCGTATTTGGATCTATTTCTCATCCTATTCTCAGAGAGACCTGACCGGAGCTCTTGAGAATAACGCCAGTACTCAGGTGGATTCAGGGTGTGCAGTTAAAGTCTCTTTTTTCGATGGAACTCCCATGACCGGTTTGCCTATGATTACTCTGTGCGATGAGACTCCTAAGCTCTGCGCTCATGCGGCTTTAAGAAACGCCACAAGAATGACCAGACCATGCACCAGCGACGAGAGTTACTTCACCGTAACGCCAAGTTTGACTTTACGCATGGAAACAGTCCTAGGCACTACTCTGCACACCGTGAACTTCCAGGTAACTTCTATCAAGTTATAGGATTCCATTAACAGTTCCAGTTCACATAGAAGCGATTAATGTAGATTTTTTCTTTTCATTCTACCTTTTTATTTTTTATCCTCCTTAGTTCTTTGCCTCATCGAACACGACGAAGTAGCGCTCCTATTCCAGGCACGGTATGAATTCGTCTCGACCCTCCAAGGCGGCGAAGCTTGGGGCGATGGGCCATGCAGTAGGATCTGGCGTAGAGTCCGAAGTGGGGAAGTGACATCACCACGGGACGTTCGACTCTTCGGTAGAGGAGGTGCCTCCAGGTTGGAGTGTAAATACCGAATCGAAGCTGGATCTGGAGAACGAATTAGGCTGACTCTGCACAACATCAGTCTCGGGGAACAAACATCCTGTACCAGCGAACCTGATCCTCATACGGGTAGACCTAGATGTATAAATGACATCAACTCGAGGGAGGCGCACCTAATCCTCTACGAAGCACCCTGGCGTGACGTTAAACTTCCTCGGGCTTGCTTGTGCGACAACACTTCTCATCTACCCTTGACTCATATATCTGCTGCACGAGCCCTGGAGATCACCTTCGTGGTGGATCAACAGGCTCCGCACGAGGATTTTGAGACTTTGTTCTTTTATGCAAGTTTTGAGTTGATTCGTGCACCGGAATGCCCTAGGAAGCAGCGTGTTCGAGGAGAAGGTGTGTTCAGAGTTTCCTAAAATCCATTATTTTCCTTTGGACTTATTGTTTTTACTAACCAAATTCATTTTAATGCAAAAGGTGGCGAGTTAAGATTCGTGGCACCACCTCTATCACGGCCAGACATCTACTGCGAGGGTTTACCCTGGTTGATAGAGGCCAGAGAGAATAGATCCCTCTTCGTGTTAACCTGGGGATGGTTCCTGCCCCTGGAACCACCACCCGTGACAGAGTCTTCGGACATCCCCAAGTGCCCTACCACAAATAGAATCCTTTTATACTCCGCGTGGGCGTCGAAGCTGCTCAAGGTGATTTGTCCAGCCGAACCAGGTGCCCGAGAATACACCGTTCACGTCTTCTCCGAGGAGTGGCTTGGCGGCGCCGAAGGCAAATGGCCAGGACCTCCAAAGCCGCCAGCACTCCTTCTAGATTTTGTTGCCAGAGAGCCAGGCCAGGCTGCGGCATCTTGGCTGGAGATTTCCAAGAGTCGTTCTGCACTGCGCAGACAATTGCGTCTTCCAGAAAGGGGCGTAGAAAATGAGACTGTAACAAATGGAGACTGTCCACACAGGTGTCCTGAACTTGGCGCTTGCATTGCTTCGAGTCTCTGGTGCGACGGGAGGATACACTGCCCGTCTGGTCACGACGAAGCACAATGTGGAAATGGTGCAAGATTACTGGGTCTGCTACCGCCTACAATGTGGCTGGTAGTTGCCGGTGTTGCCGGAATTGTCACTGCCTCTGCGTGCCTCCTTGTTATTCTTATCGGCAGGTGAACCTTCATCAATTTTATACTCCTGGTCTATAAAAGTTTTCATCCATTAAGAAGCTCAATAGTTTTACTACTTTCCAACAATGGATTCATAGTTACTCTACTAGCTTCTTCTTCTTCTTCTTCTTCTTCTCGGTAGCCATAATGCCATTCAGTTGTCAAGATAATCGTATGGTCTTTCATTGTAGGTCCAAGGCACGCGCAAGAAGACTTCACTACAAAGGAAAGAAGAAGTGCAATAAGCCAAGACGAGCGCCGACGGAAGAGACTCTCCTGGGTGCAGCATCCTGACAGCAGCCCCCCGGTTTCGTGGAGTACATCCACGTTGACCGGGAGACGACAGTCTAGCGATACCACTCTGTACTTTACCGTCCACTAACTTAACTTTAAACTTTCCCCAGGTGCCAGCGTCAGGGCGATGAAGACGAGTGTCTCTGTGATACAACGCGACACTCTTGTTTGTTCGTTCATTCAAGTATCGACCTTGCATCTCTTTTCACAACATCCCCTAGGGACGTAGAGTTGTTGAAAAAGCTCATCTCAAATTCGCATCTATATCATCTCTCACGGATAAAGAACAACAGCAAATTCTAACGTAAAATCAATATTTTAGTTGAGCGGGAAAATTCAAAAAAAAATAATTCACGTATCTGAAATCGATACGCCGTCTCCTAAAGGTTTATTGCGCGAGCTTTGTACAAACGACTCATTACTCCATTTCGCACAGACGACTATTTTCTTCCGGTTCGAAACGTTCTTTCTTTTATATATGTACGTAATCGTAGATGCTAGATTAACAGGAAAGTATTAATTATGATCTACGTCGACATGAGTTTTCATTCTTTTTTTTTCGCGGTGTATGTATAAATTCATATACCTGGAGAACGCGCCTACAAATTCTAAATTCGCCCATGATCGATCAAGGAAGTGTAGCAAGGTACGCGGTATACTGTACAAAGAAAAGAAAATGGCAAAACAGTCTGTATGTATTATAGGACACATATAAAATCGAAGCTGGAGAAGTTTGAGAAATTCGTAAGAACTTCGCAAGAAATACGAATGGAGTAAAAAAAGAAACGGTGTTCGCTCGTAGAAAGTTTAGAAAAGCAACAAGAAATTCCTTGATCCATCATTGAGCCGGAACCTTAGAGTTTCAAAAAAAATTCAAAATAGCAATTTCAAAATACGCGGGTGATCGAAAGAACCCGAATCCGCGGATGCACGAAGCAGCAACTGGTTACATAGAACATTAAAAAAAATCATCTAGACTTTACAACGTTATACTTGACTGTGATAATGGAAATACGCGAGTGCAAAGTCGTCCCAGCAGCGTCGTGACGTCGGCGTCGTCCCGTCGCTCGATCAATTGCCGTGCCACGAAACGCCGCAAACTTCCTTCGTTCCTGTTGACAAAATAAACTTGATTTTTTGTCTTGTCTCCAGAGTTACGACATGCGAGTGTAACGTTGATATAAAATTGATATATATATATATATATACACACACAAACACATTATATACTTTTCATTGCATTGGCTGTTGAAACACCTCGTGGCATCCCGGCTGTATCTATAATACTATAAGGGTTCCTTCTTAATAAGGTGATACATACTCCGTGCACCTAGAGACTGTATACTTTACATAATTATATATATACATAGTACAAGTATACAAAAGTACATTCGGTACTTGACTAACGTACACTTTCATTATTAACACTTACGGAGGCTATTTGCACTGGAGTTGAATGACAGTTGGAATACATGGGATGTATACCTATAGTTTACTAATATACAGATATATGCCAAACACATGTTTCAACTATGAACTCAACTGCAGTGAAAATACAACCAGTGACGCATGAGCGCGAATTATTAATGTTAGATGCAGAGCGTCTCCGTTATTCATCTTTCATGTAAAATCATGTAAATCCGCTCACACATTGTTCCTCGTATAATAAATTTGTTTTACATAGAGCCGATGCGAGTAAAAGATTTAAAAAAAGTGCCGTGTAATTTTGATAAAGATACTCGCATTAGTCAGAAAATTTCGTGTGTACCTGTAACTGTTACAGTTGGCATGTACAAAATAATTGACGGTCGATAATTCAAACAAAAGAGACGACTCTGCAATCTATCGACTTATAATTGTGCGGCAATGCGAGAGGATGTAATTCGAATGTTCGTAAAAACGAATATCGCCGATATGGATTATAACGGAATTAGACGCGGGAAGTTTGAATCTCGTGGGCGCCGAATTTATTCAATTTTGTATGATGAAAGTGGCGAGTATTTGTAGATGCATCAATATGGATTTATGCAAGCGGGGAAGTACCAATATAAATGGGGTTTCGATTATTGAAAAAAAAAGAAAGTGCGAGAATTTAAATGGTATTCGAACGAAGAGATCTAAAAAATGACGAATGAATTGACACGTTGAAAATGGTCTGTTAATTGAAATTGTATTGTACGTAGGTAATTATAATATTAATACCGCTATGGTGTTGGTCGGATTGACTGTTCGTAGGGGCGATTATAATTTTGCGAGTGACACGTAAATTAATTGCGTAGAAAATACCGTAGCCGCCGAGGTTATAACGATAGATAACCAAATTTGCTGCCAACCCATGTATCAACGCAATACGATACGATTACCTGTGTGTCGCTGGCGATGAGTGAACAAAGAAATTCTGCAAAATGAATCCTATAGGATTTTATCATTGCATTCTTGTCATTCGCGAAGTCAGTGTTGTGCAATAACTGGGATATCCTGTCGCCAGATACTCGTCGAGGATACTTACACAGAAATTTTGTATGGTTGGTAGGACTACGTGAATTTCAGAAAGATAAACGTCGCGTATTTATTTTTCGAAAATTGATAAGCGTCTAGTCACTCATGTAAGCTAGTAGTACCTGTACGATGTTCATCCATTGTAAATGCGACATTTTAATATCTTGTAATCCGTCGTATAGGATCGGGCTGAAAGGGTACTTATTAATTTTTTTTCTAGAAAAAAAACAATTGCTCTCGCGAGTCTTTATATTTTATAGATTTTAGGGTAAACGAGAAAAGGTTCTTTAGCTGTAAATTATACGGTATACATAATTTGCACTTATTAATTTATTATGCACCCTGCGTACTGTATTTCTAATCTAACCTATAATCCGACACTACAGAGCCGTTCAAAATCAAAGAACAAAGGTCACTTGAAATTATAACTCGTCGCACTTATACGTGCATTGAATTATCGTTACATAGATACGAAATTCGAAAAGTATCTTACACTAGTATCGCTGCACAACACTGCACAGTTTGAAAAAAAATGGTCCGACTTGAGTTTTTTTTTGAATCACACACTTAATAATTATAATTATGTTACAATTTAAAAGACACCGAGTTAATCGCATTGATAACGTTTGAATTCATAATATATAATTGAAATATTATTATGCAAATACTTGATACTTTTCATGATTATTTGAATACTGTTCATGAATTTCTATACTAATTCTATACTATGTTTCAATATATTTAAAGTGGCGATACCTTCATTCTCTATTAAAAAAAAAAAACATAAAATGAGTTGGACTGTACATAAAGATGCGTATTCACAGCACTATTACACTTTGCACTTTGGCACGAGGACTGATAGGTTCGTATAGTGTAGAGTTCCGTGTCGCAAAACCTGATCTGACCACGTTACTCATTCCTCGTAACCTACGATACTGTAGCCCATAAGTTCTACTGTAACATAAAGCACTGTACCACCTATGTAAGCACACGAGTTCCAATAAAAGTAAAAACATCTTGTAGAAAGAGTATTATTGTCATCTGGTGTAATAATAATTCATTTAATTAAAAGAATCTATAAACAGCAATAATGAAAACATTGAAACAGAGCTTACCCGGTAGTATGAATAGAAGAATAAAAAATTCATCTGAACGTTGATATATAAAAACAGAAATCTCATATCCCTGCTATAAAAATGTCGTGGCGGTTTATATCAAGTCTTTGTGGACGTCCGTTAATAGCATGTCTGCTGCAGAAATATTTCTCATCTCCTGGAGCAATCTCTGACCTAAATGTTCATTGGCAGCTAAGGGATGAGATCCATATCTATGTACGTACAATACTTTAATATCTTCCCGGCATGCCAGATACTTTAATTTCTGACAGTTGTTATATCTAGATGGATATAAAAGTATTTAAATTTTCATATTGAAAGTTAAATAAAACCGATAGAGCAAAGATAACGTTTAACGTAGTACGATAACCGCGAAGTCGATATTCAAATGGACAGGTTTACCTACCACAGTTTGAAAATAGCAACGGATATCGGAGCGCGCTATCACATCCGGCGTCGTTACTCTCTTCCTGGATATCGAACCGAGTGCATTTGACGTACAGCTGCTGGTGGTAATAATAATGCACCAGGAAATGTTAGTCTTTCTCTGGTATTTTCTTCGTCATTTGTAAGCAATGCTCCAGATCAAGTTCCGTTGTTATACATAATCTAACCTAAAAAATCGTATAGATGCGTTACGTGTATACAGATGTATGTACAGCCGATTTACGATTTTAGCATCTGATAATGGGATCGATCTTGTCCAGGTATAGTCCTTTGTCATTCCCTGCATTTGATGTGGGAAATGTCTATGATAATTGTGTTGAATAATCGATATATCAATATCGACAAAAAGACCGACACAGGTTCATATGCATCAGGAATGTTGGAATGCAGTTGGCAGATGCTGTATTCCATTATGTCAGATGTCTGTTTAAATGGTTTACTTTGTTTTTCTTTTGCCGTAACAGTCATAGGAGTACAGTTCAAATTAATGTTCTTTTTTTGATTTGATTTTAGAAATGTAAATTAGACGCTTTCAACCAAAATGTGCAAAGTAGATGATCAACTTTGTAATGCAGTTTGGTTTGAAGAATTATTTTTTCCTCTAGTTACTGACCTATATGCTCATTGACGCTTAAAGGGGAGAGCACGTACTCAGCCCTGGTGCATTAACGGGGAAAATAATTGTGGCGCACCGAGAGTTTATTTACCTCAGGAAATTAGCTCACGCGATGTACTTATGTAGGCAGTCCACTCCCTTTTTCAATTATCCAGGGACTGTGTAAACGTGACTAAAGAGAATCGAGGGAGTATTTCGTGTGTAAAGGCTCTTTGTGCTTATTGGAAAATTTTTATTTCTTTCATGGTTTTGCTTTGTTTAATGAGCATTAATTTGAAAATCATTACAATTGAATTTGGGGAATAATGCATCCAAGAGGAATGTTTTTCGTGTTATTTTAGGTGTAAAAATGAATTGTAGAGTTATTAGTTGAATGCTCTAGTATTCCAATCAATCAGAAAGCATGGAAAAATAGCTATATAACTTATTATATTTATGAAAAGTGTATTTCTATATTTGAAGTGTATACACTCGGAAATGCTGGGATTGAGCGGTTTTATACATTGTTTTCCGTTGTGTATTTGTTCATTTTGATAACACGATTTTTCCAAGTCTTTATTGGGCTTTGTATGATAATCAATTTGTAAAATTTGAAAATAGTAAAAAAATATGCTCCAGGTGAGGCTCGAACTCACAACCCCGGCATTGCTCACGAACACTGTCTTATAAGTACCGTGCGCTAACCAATTGCGCCACTGGAGCTATTGCGAATAAGGCCACAAATTTACTATTTTTTCTATCAAATCGAATGAGTAAGAAATTTGAAATATTTATCAAAGTTATACGGTAAAACAAAATATATAATTAATGTGTGATCGAAAATGATATTCCAATATAGATATATTTACTCTAATAGAGGTTATGTTACGTGCCAGCTACGCGATGTAGAAACAGACCTAACAAAAAGAAAATTGTTGACCCACTTTCCAAAAAAAAAGTTACACCACTTGGCCCAACAATGTTAACTAATTTAAAATTAGCATAGAATTTTCTTAACGGGTGACTTAAAGGTTTTTTTATTGTCCGCGACATTGTTGACTTATTATATTTCGAAAATGTACTCCACTGTACGACTAGTAGAAAAATGCAAATTGGTAAAAATTGTATGCATTATATATACATTTGATATGAATATATTCCTGTTCTACTATATACCAAATTAGAACAATTTTATAATAGATTAATAAAATCATATAATTGTTTAATTATATAACCTATATTTACAAATTAGTTAGAAAGTTTATAAAAAATTGTTACTACATCGTTTCATTTGTTCACTTTATATATATATAGATGCATTAATGCAAAAGCAGTTGATTATTTGTTATGCTAATTCAATCTCTATAGTATACTATAATTTTAATAATAGCGAATACTTTGTTTTACGCCCGTTTCCACCGACGTGGTTTAAATCTGGTTCAATTTCTTTTTATACAGTTTTAGGTGGAAACGGGCGTTAGTGTTTCTAAACTGCATTATATATTTTCGGAATATATATATCACACGTACTTTTCCATTTTTGTAGATATAACACAGACTGAACGATATGATTACATTTAAACTGCATGTGTTTCCGAAGAAATGATACTGGAAATGAAACTCTATAAATAATAATAAAAATAATAACAAAAAATGAAGATACGTTTATAATGATCAACTGGATGATTTTTCGATCGCAGTTTGCAAGTCTTTAGATACAGATTCTTTACCGTCACTTTTTGCGTGCAACTATTGACGACACTGAACTGATCCGAGCCAAAATGTCGGCTGCTAACATTGTCTTTTCATAGCCATATTAACCAATAAATAATTATCGTGCTAAAGTCAATATCAAAAGACTGATACATTGACGTGGCCTTCGGGTAATGGTGATTTATTAATGATTGAGACTTTTGAATGTTTCTACTCTAATCATTATATTTTGCTGCCATCTCACAACGATTCCCCACCCTAAGGTTACGTACACAAGACTGTCACCTGTTTTCACTCAACAATTACTTCGATGTTTTTTTTTCAACAGTGTGCAAAGTCACTTTTGTCTTTTATTAGTGCAAAAATATTTTTAAATAAATGGAATTGGATGTGATTATGTTCTCTAGTAGTTATGTATTTTATACATAACATAACCTCCGACTTGGTTGACTTGTACTATTTTGCTTATTAATCAATACTGAATTTCAGTGAAACTAAATTGGGACTAATTGAAGATTAACATTTTATTTATAATGTGACTGTGTAGGTGGATTGTAAATTAATGATTGAATATATACTATTGGATAGTAGGAAATTACCATATACATTTAGTATATAAATCATTTCATTAGTTTCATATTAGACATTTATAATTAAAGATGCCCAAAGTAGCATATACTGATGATTAATCATTTTCAGATATGAGGAACAATGAGCTGGTTCGATGCAGCAGGATTTGCCAACCTGGCCAAGTCTGCACTTAAGGAAGCACAGAAAACAATAGACAAAGCACTGGATATTAAAGAAGAGGAACAGAAAGTGATACAGGCATCACCAGCCGACACTACAGACTTTTTTGCAACATGGGGCCTTAAAAGCGAAGAAGAACAGCAAGATGCGAAAGATAAGCCTTCTGATCAAAAGCAACAAACAAGCATATGGGGTAGTTTTACAGGATCCTTCTTTGATAACCCAAAACTTGAACAAGACTCATCAAATACTGTCAAACATTCAAAATCACTGCAAGAAGCGTTCAGTGAGGATTTAGAAACATCACAAATTGTAACATCGATTTCTGTTCCTGAGAGTTTATTGAACCAAAGCAGCAGTATATCTAAATCCGGAGTTGATTCTGAATCCACGGATGTTTTAAACGAACTTACAGCATCAGTGCTGCTATCAAAGGACACCTTAGAGTATCCTGTACAAGATGTTTCAAAAGAATTATGCAGCTATGATGCTAATACTTCAAGTGATCTATGTCCCTTCAACAGAAAGGAAACCGCGACCAAGTCACGGAACCGCGAAAGAAGTAATCCTGTGAAGAAGGCGAACAGTTTAGAGGAATGTGATCTTTTCGAGACCACCGAGGAGCATGAGGGCTTTGAAAGACGCCGAAGTAATGACGAAACCGGTTACGAAAATGATAGCAAAATAAACGAAATTAAACGACGCGAATTAAGTGCAAATCATACGTTAAACCGAATATCCGTGATATCTTCAGAGAGCGACAAAAAGAGTTCTGAGAGTGTTGAAGTTTTAGGCTCCCGGTCTACTAGTGATACAGATTGTACGACTACCCCAGAATCTGATATAAACTCTGTAAGTAATTCTATAAGCTCTTCTGCAATGGGTCTGAAAGTGAATTCGGAGTCTGTAGAGGTCCTACCAGATAGTCTGGTAACATCACCAAGTTCTGTCGAGATCTTATGTGACTGGAAGAGTGACAGTAGTCCATTCGTCTCACCAATGGATCAAAAACAATTTGACGCCAGTCCAAATCCTGTCAGAGGTGAGTCTGTTACTCCATCCGTAGACCCTAAAAATGAACTGCTGCCACAAGACAATGAAGAACGAAATATCGCTTCATGTTCGGACATCTCGCCGTATGAATCACCTCTTGAGGAGACTAAGACTTTAAATATTAGTCCCTGTCCTGATAATGCTTCTGTACTCTCATCTAGTATATCTCCAGTATCGCCTACTCAGCCAGATTTGTCTCAAGTAGAAAGTAATAAGGTATCTCCGGAGAGTGTAGAAGTTATACCTGATATCGATGAATCTGACGAAGTGAGTCTAGCTGAGGATTCATACACCTCAGCTTCGGAGAGTACAGTAATGACTGTAATGGAGACATTCCAGCAATTGGATCCAACAAAAACAAAAATAGACCTTGTAGACAGGAACTTGAAGATGCATGATTCTTGTCCAGATAGTAGGCAAATATTAATGAAACCTGGTGAAGACAATCAGCTGAATCTTAGCTTAGATTCTCTGAAGGAGAAGCATAATCTGCATTTGCCACTGGAACCAATAACAACACAGCCAATTCGCAAAGCGGAAAATCTTGAAAGTGTCAACAAAGTACCGGAAGTAAATCCTTTCGATCAGCTTAAATGCTCCACCATTGAGCCACCAGATCCGGAAACCTTCCGCGACAGTGAAAACCAATTGCAAAAGGCTGAAACGATCGACGTTCAAGATCAATATTTGATGCTAACTGATTCAAGTTGCGAGGGCACATTAATTGAGAGTAGCTCAGAGGATAATGCGACCTTGATTTGTGAGCCTGAAACAAAAATTACAGAGACACCATTAACTGCTAGTTCGTACGTGAAAAATATGCTGGCAGATGCGATGGTTGAAAAGGGTGAAATAATTGATTTAGAAAGACACTGTATGGAAGTGCCTAGAGAAAATTCACCAATATCTTCAGAAAGGTATAACTTGAAACCTCTTTATGTAGTAATAGATACAATGTTATGCTCATTGATTTAATTATTCGTTATTTTATAATCTTAGCCGTTCGGATTTGGTAAAAATTGGGTCTGATCAAACAAGTGGGCATACAAGTGGCGATGAATTAGAAACTACAACGTCAAGCGATATTGAAATAATATCCAGGTACAGGTATGAGCTTATGCAAATTAAGTCTTAAAGCGATAATCTACATTTTTATACGTGTTTTATATATTTAGCATGCCAGAATTTATTCTATAGAAAATGTCTAATGAAATTCGATAATTTTTTTATACAGTCCAAATGGAGATTCGAGTTCTACTCAGTCACGACAAAGTCCAGCGAAATTGCAGTTGAACAAGAGTAGTGATCTTCTTACAAAAACTCTAAACAAGACAAGAGGGCATTCGCGTGAGCTCAGTGAAATTAGTGTGGGTTCGGATGATGCTAATTTGGAAATTGAAAAATTGTTGAAACGTATCCAGGAAATGACGGAGATTTTAGAAGCTCGCGAGTCTAAGTTGATTGACATCAGTCGCATGAATATGGAATTGCATGATCAAAATAATAATCTTAAAAAGTAAGGCAGTCCTGAAAAGGAGTATGTAAACTAATTGATTTATTTTTATTGGGCAGCCATAATTTCTTTAATTTGTTAATTATATCCTAGGAAACTGGATAATATTGAGAAATGTGCTGAACAAAATCAAGAACTGACACAAATAACGGATGAATACACGCAAAGACTATCCGCACTGGAACGTAAGTTCCAGCAGGCGATACGCGAGCGTGATACCCTGAGGAAACACGTGGAGCAGTTGAAGCAAGAGGCAGCTACGCGTCTCTCATCTCAGGAAATATCTACAATAAATGCAGAGAAAGATGAGATCATTCGGGAGTTGCGTGAGGAGGGTGAAAAGTTAAGCAAGCAGCAACTTCAGCATAGTAATATCATTAAGAAGTTGCGAATTAAGGAGAAGGAGAACGATGTTACTATTAAGAACCAGAAGTATGAGTGCTATCTATTATTTATGTGTAGAGCTTCTCTTTCACAACAAATTATAATAGTTACGTATATTGTTTCTTCAGGGAGCAAATAGAGGAACAGACTTTAGAATTGGATAGATTGAAGCGGTCACTCTATGCCAAGGAAGAAGTGGAGCGAAGTCAGATCGAAGCAGTGCATATGCTAACAGCGAAAACAAAAAAGCAAGAAAAAGAAATACTGAGCTTGCAAGAAAGATTAGACGATGCTTTACAAAAAATGGATACGTACAAGAGAAGTTTGGACGCGGCTAAAACGTGAGTATAAATATTTATTCTAAATTTAGCATTTTCAGTTGTAACTAACTCTTACTGAAAATAATACCAATAATAATACCAATTTGCAGAGAGCTTGCCGACACAAAAGACCATCTGAGTGCAATCGAAGAAGATCTAAAAGAGGCTGTCGACAATGCTGGTGAGTCTTGTCAACTTTCAGCTCAGATTGAAGACTTGAAGATGAGACTACGTCAAACAAAGGAAGCACACATCAAGTAAGTTCAAACATTTTCATTTTTTTAATATTAGATCACTCTTAGGTTTATAATTCAATATATATTTTTGTATTAACAATGCTTATAATGAATCTGTAATTGCTCAGGCGCGAAGAATCTTTAAAGCAAGAGAACATTGAGCTGTTGAAACGTTTAGAAGCCGCTGAAGCTCGTAGCGAGGAATTATCAGAGTCAGTATCAATGGCTACAAAACCAATGCTAAGACAATTGGAACAATTGCAAAGCAGTTTATCTCATAAGTCAACAACATTCATGAAGCAAGAGAAAACAATGTCCGAGAAGATAATTGAGCTACAGACAAAATTAGATAGTCTAATTGAGGTGGACCGTTCGTTAAAAGAAGAAAATGTTAGTTTAAAATCTAAAGTGTCCGTTCTAGAATCAAAGTTTAACGCTAAGGAGGCAGAACGTGTAAAATTGGAAGCTTTGTACGAGCAAATAAAACAGAAAAGTGAAAAGATTACCGAAGAAAATGAAATGTAAGGGATTCAGAAGTTACGTGGAAACTAATAGAAGTAAATGAATTATAAATGTATACATAATTAATTCCACAAATATTCACAGGCAACGGCAGATGATAGAAACACTTGAGCAGTCACACTCTAATAAAGTAAAGGAACTAAAACGCGAGATTAATTCATTGGAGAACAAACTTTCCATGGAAAGAGCAGCAACCGATGCTGAGAAAAGAAAAAATAATGCTATGTTGGAGCAGCAACAGAGTGTCGAAGAGGAATTAAGGCTTAGTCCTACGCTGAGTATTGGAAGAGATTCTATAGGAAGTACAAATAGTGTATGGCCAGCTGTGAGTATATTAATCATAGAAATTATATATTTAATTCATTTGATTGTAAAATGAAAACTATATATTGTATTTTATTACAGTTCAATGATTCAGTCTTCGACACAAGTTCTGGAAGATTCCCCAATGTATATGACAGCATCAGATCAGGTTCGACAAGTACTTCAATGTTTGAGAATCTGCAAGCGCAACTAAAACAGCGTGACGGTTTGTACAATTCCGTATAAATTCATAGATTTTCGGTTATTCGTTGATAACACTGACTTGTCAACAATTGCTGAAGAATCATTTGATAATTTAGGTGAAGTGCAGCAGCTCCAATGGGAATTGTCACGTCGCAACGTCGAAAGAGATACTCTCAATATGGAACTGTCGACACTGGCGTTGAAAGTTGAAGAATTGACTGCAAAAGTATCTGAAGTTGAAACCTTGAATGAGAATTTAAATGACATTCAAACAAAGTACGACGCTCTGTTGCAAATGTATGGAGAGAAGGTAGAAGAGAATCAGGAGTTACGATTAGATCTACAAGATGTCAAAGATATGTATAAAAGTCAGATTGATCAGTTACTTAAGAGGGATGCTTAGAATTTCATCAAACTATCTGTTGGGTCATGGAGTACTTTTAAACTGTATTTTACACGTGCACGAAACAGTGTGAGAAATATTCCAATAACAGGGATTTTCTGACACACATGCTGAAGGATAATAATCGACTGTGGCTGAAAGTCAAGGTATATATTATTTATTGTGTATAAATTTTATCCAACGATGGAGAAGGTAGGAACCAGTGTAACGATTTAAATTGTCGAATCGAAATTTTGTAAATCAATTAATATTATATTTTCTCGCTAAGGATTTAGTGAATCGCGGTGCTGGAGTATAATAAGAAACACGCAATTTGCCATATAAGATGATCATTAAACAACTTTAATATTTCTTATAAATATCATCGTTTCATTGCATAGATTAATTTTTCCAAGGATTCACTGTGGCTTTGATTTTGTTCTATCCAATTCATTTACCTCGTCTAGTGTCGCGTGTTCAAGTTTTCTTTTTGTTCCAAAAAACAATAGGCTAACTTTGTAAAACATTTGTTTGTCCAATAACTTTAAAAAAATATTTCTTAACCGTGGTATTATGTTTTCAGTTGATAGAAGTAGTCCCATTTATATAAAGAAATATAGTACCAATCGAGGTCGAAAAAGACCTATAATATCAATGAACAATTTTTAACGAGAGCTAAACTTTCAAAATTTCATTGAAAGATCAATCCTGTAAATAAGTGGAAAACGTATGCGCGTAAGTTATCGTTCAACGAGAATCGTAATACAAGAGGAAATTTATACTGAAAAGAGTGGTTGGTATAATTTTTTTTAATAATCAGCGCACTCACTGCGTTTTCTTAGTAAAAATTCAAGTAAAAGTGATTAATAATGATTAGAAGTCGACTAGTGTATTATGTACCAATTAAGAAACTTTCTAAAATCCAATATATGAATCGATTATCACGAATTACACTGTCAAGTAGAAATTCATGTCAAAGCATACATACGTTACCATATGTACGATAGATTAAAAAACATCTCGAGTCATAGAAACATTGTTAAAACGATAAAAGATTTGTATTGATCAAGCGAATGTGCACAACGTTTCACCAAATGGGCAGGTGTTGTATATTCGCTTTGCTGGGAGAAAAATGGGACAATGTGATATGAAATGTATTATAATATCTAATTACTGTAATATGCCGTTAATTAAATACATTTGAAAGGAATTCATTCTCCTGGATATACCATTCCCTAGTATCATTTAAGTTGAGTTGATCTCATTGTCTGGATCACAAATAAAGGAAATGAAGGATGTAAGATGTTACGGTCTTGAAATAAATTCAAGCAAAACCCATCTGTAGAGTTTAACATTTATGATATTCATGATCATATCAGATTTTCGACAATATAACGTTTATATTAATAAGATTAAAGAAAAAAAAAGGAAGAAAAAAGGAAATAACGTATCGTTTTAGCCACTCGTTGAATTGGCAATGAAAATATTGTATTATAATTCTGCCAGTGCAAATTATTCATGAAAATATAATGAGATGTACGAATCTTTGTATTTTCAAACAAATTTCATGGACTGATTTTTGAGGTTTTTCATTAATTTTAATATTTCTGATATTACCTTCTTTGCAATAACCATCTGGCAGAATTATTTGAACGTGAAAATGTCGCCTCGATACGTTGAAGAAGGTGAGTTTCCTCATTTCACTTCTTTTTTTTACTGTGTTTTTATAAACCTTGTGAATTTTTTAGACTTGCAAATAATCGTTTCCTTCTCGCGGCGTAAACACAAAGTTAAAATTAAAATTAGATCGTTACAGACTTAAAGCTATTGTGGATTGCGTCACCCTCTTAGTAGACTCGAAAGTCAAAGAATAGTTGGGCCCCCATAAGCCCCAACGTTCGACCGACCAAACCAGCAGCTCTACACTCTACTTATATAATAATATTAAAGCAAAGGAGCCAATTGGAGAATTTTCAAATGAAATTAATCGACAAGTCTTCGAATCACAGATAAATTGATTGTGTAGAATAGAAATTATACTAAATTGTGTTGTAGCTTAATAGCTTAAATTAAGCTACCGCCATTGCTTATCTTTGTGATCTTTGCAACTTATCGCTCATGTAAGAAAAGCGGCGGCTAATTGAGGGGCCTTCTTTGCTGATTCACTTTACAATTGATATATTAATTTTTTCTGATATAACAAATTAATTTTTACACAAGACTGCAGTTTATGTATAAAGATTGCATGAGAAAAATTCTAAAAAAAATCTTTTTACAGACTTTTTTGTAAGTTTTATAGTATCCATGATTATAATGATTTAATTGGTATACGTTGTTGTTAGACAAATCATTTTTTTAAAGGAAACATTGATATAGTCAAATTTGATATTTTCATAGTTTCTTTTTAGAAAGTGCTTAAAACGTCATTGAACAAGACTAAATAATTTGGCATCAATGTGTCAGCTCATGAATCAAGTATTGTGACAATATACAATTTTGGTTTTAGTTTTATAGTTACATCTTCAGTCTCTCCCGTGTAAAACAAACTAAAATTCTTTTTGCTATTATGTAAAATCAAATGACAGAATTCAAATTCAATATCAACACTTGAAAAAGAAGCAATTTGGAAATACCAAATGATCAGCACCTGATAAATCTGGATCAATTTCGAAAATATCCATGTAACATTTATCTAGCGAATCAACAATGCGACCCCAGCAATTAATAATATCAGGCATTATACCTGAATATGATAACATGTTTAGCGATTTACGCTAATCGTCCGTCAATGGACATGATCGTCATTTCCACCCCCGTCAACATTATCATCATCATCATTCCCCATCATCATCCTCATCCTCGTCATCGTCATCGTCGTCGGCTGAAGTTGGAACAATCAGCATTCAGCTGATCAGCACTTATCATAAACTTCTCATAACTATCTTACTAAAATAAACACGTGGCAGATTCTATGTTTCTCTCAAAAAAATTAGCTCCTCCCGGTTACGTGCAAGAAAGTCTGACGATCTCCTATGACTAACGTAGTACTCAAACAGCACATATGACTCTTCCTTAGTCGAATTTATTATTCAGATAGAATCAACTCCCAAACCTTTCTTAATTTTCTTCGTAATCTGGCGACTCGTTTAGAGCTAAGCAATAAATTCTGTCACAGGAAACAATCATATTCTCGCACCTTTTATTCTCCATTCATCTAAGCCATCCTATGTCTATCCAGTCATTCATTATACTAGACTAAGACTACACGTCCTTCGTCTCTTTGATCTCATTGTAATAAAACAATATCCTTGCATGATCTTCATAGTCTCTTAAAGGCTTCTTTCCATTGCTACAGATTCGCATGTACCTTATTCCTCTATACAAGAGAACATTGGTCATCGTTCCTGGCGCAATAGGTCTCCTCTCAAATAGAATAGCTCTTGACTCATTTGAATGGAGCTCAAGTTTCTTTTCTTTCATTACGATCTGCATATCTCGCCCTTGCCTATTAGAATAATGAAAAATGAGAAAGAATAGAAGAGAAAGGCAAGTTTAAAAAATGAAAAGAAGTAAGTAATCGGAAGGAATTATAAGAACAAGGGAGACAGTGTGACCGTGACAATTGAATGCCTGTTCAGATGATGAGAAGAAGAAAGAAAAATGGCGCCAAGAGTCGCACGCTACTTCGTTTTAAGATAATCATAGAATCAGTGCCCGAGGACCTGTTCAGTTAGCTTCGCGAGATTTTCGACGTATGAGCACGGTTAGCCCTGAACCGTATTTATATTGGTTGTTTCTCCCAGAAGAAGGTATCTCGCACCCAATCGGACAGTGGAATTGCCACTACGACGTAGGGCAGTAGATGGTACGATTTTTTGTACCCCGTCAGACGAAAGTTAAACCAGCGGCGCGCTAGCGCCGGTTTCCATTCGTTCAGACCCACGGAGTCCAACCTTCGTATAGAAGGGCCAGGTTGTCCGAGCTCTGGGCCTCTCGGATCACGTACTCCACTTGTTCGGCCGTCGTATACTTCCGCGCCGGATTCGGATCGCGACCTTCCAGTTTCATCCGCACACGGCGCCACACGTTCAAAGCGTATGCATTCCTCTCTTGCACAGCTATGGAAATAGTAATTAATTAATACCAGGTTATTATTACTCAAGTTTTACTTTATGACTTTCTTACCTTTTCCAGTAGTTGGATCTCTAACAAGTGGTACTCCTTTCTTGGGACTGAGACACACACTGTCCTGTCTTATCAGCTTCGCTTTCTTCTTAGACAGACACTCTTTGGAGATTGACGGACTATTACGCTGCTCATTGGCAAACTCCAGGAGCTCGTTGTACAAGGCAGGTGCTTTCACCATCATCTCCTCCAGGTCAGATTTGACTGCTAGTGCTCTGGCCGTATCTAAACTCTCGGATTCTAATTCCTTCACCACCATCGAGATCTTCTCTGTGAAGCAACGATATGACCCCAGGAATTCGTGCAGGCCCACGATATTCTCTTGTTTAGCCATAGTTCGTAGCAATCCGCGAACGTCTGTCATCAGTCGGTGATGCTCGGCTATTATACATTGAAGACTCGAAACACGTTCTCGGAGGCAGTCTTGAGCCAGTACTAGGGACTCCTGCTTCTCTTGGAGCTTTTTTTGCGTGTCGACAATTGCGTCTGAGATCAATTTTTCAGCCTGTCGCAGCCAATTGGCGTCCACGTTGTTTTCCAGCTGTAGCAATTCCACCAGACTCTCTTCCGTCATTGTGACGGTGATTGTGAGGTTCGCCGTCAGCATGCAGCTCTCTTCCCAGTGTTTAAGTAATTTTAAGAAATTCGTGTCATTTGTCACGCTCTCAGACGTTCGAGTTCTAAGCGCCTCGTAATGCAAGATGGCGTTGCATGTGTTTATGACGATGGCCGCTAGATTATGCTGTCGGGTAAGTTTCTCGCAAGAAGTGGCCACGGCGTTGTCGAATGCAGACATGACCTCTCCGAGGGCCGGATTTGCACCAGCTGCCCATTTCAAACGCTGTCCGGCACTAGCCACAAGATTTTGCTGTTGTTCCCTTGCATCACAGACTCGTGATTGCAAGCTTGAAAGTGTGGCTGCGGTTTTACGCAACTCCAGCATGAACGTAGGTCGATCTGAAATGAAAATATATTTAGAACACTGAACAATAATACGTGACATCTATTATGAAATATTTAACAGTTTACGTACTTAGAGGATTCATAAGATTTAAATTGGAACGAAGTAGTAAACTGTCTTCGTGTAACCAATAATGTGCTGTCAGCTGAAGTTGAAGTCTCTGAATGCTTGCTCTAGCTATCTCAACACTCTGTTGCGCCATCCTGGCACTTTGTTTCCTTCTCCAGGACGCCTCGAGAGCGCTACTCAAAGCGCTTGCCTGGGTCAATATTGGACCAGAGAACAATCCTCTCTTGGAGCACAGATCCACAATTTTCCTACACAATTCCTCGAGAGAGACTTTGCTCTCTGCGCCGATATCCCTTTGTTCAATTTCTGACGTGACATTTAATCCCATTCTTTGTAACAGGAAGCAAAGAGCAATGGCCAGAGTTTGCGACGTGACTCCTAGTAGCTGTCTTGAAACATAATCCGCAGTGAACACTCTAACTGGTTTGTTCAGTCTGTCGTCATCATACACATTAGCTAATCCAGCCTTGAAGGCTGTGGAAATATCGTGACACATCATGAAGAATTCTTGTATGGTATGAAGTCTCTTAATCAAGAATATATCTTCCAACACATTACGAGCTGCTTCATTAAATATTGGAGCAGCGAGTTCCTTAGCTTCGCGTATCTGATCAATTTTCTTCCAGCTTGATGGAATATCCAGAGTGCTCAGGGTACTCACAAGAGCATTCCCTTCCATCTGCAGCTTTTCAAAAAGTCCATTGAAACCCATAAGAAGCATCTGTCCAGGTGTCAACGTCTCATCCTGGTTCAGTTCCTGAACATCAGCAGGTCTGGATAGTAACGTCTCGAATCGTAGTCTAATATTAGCAACGAGACTCTGTACAATGGCATGTGGACTTTCCATTTCCATTACGGTAAACCTAAGGTGCATCTCTAGCTGCGCGAGTATCTCGTTCAGTGGGAAGCCGATGGAGACGATGATCTCGTCTAGTTCGCTGATCATTCTCATGACAGTAGGTTCCTCCGTGATGATTGTTTTCATAGCTTCAGGAAGAATGATGGTATGGAAATTGTAGTTTAATTCCTGGAGTCCTTTGTAAATGCAATCAGCACTCCTGAGACACTTCAGGACAATAGGTATTTTAGCATCGTTATTAGATTTGTGATTTTCTGGTATGAGAGTGACCAGTTCAGCCACAAGCGACGACATAAGTCTCATTTCATCCAGGAACCAATCACCTTCACGAGATGTCAAGTCCACCAGACAGTCTCCAGCACACTTAGCAGCACCCTCCATCATAAGATATCTTTTATTCAAAGCACAAAGTGCTGTGATATTGACACACTCCAACGCCCTCTCTGCTCCCTTTTCTCGTCTGAGGAAATTGGTTATCTGAATACGTGACTCCGAGTATGATTTGTCAATTCTGCTTAAGCTCTCTGGTAATCCTTCCATGACCATCCTCTCGTACGACTTCTTGAGTTTCTCGTTAGACTCAGCCAAGATAGTTTGCAGTTGATACGAGAAAGTAACGACCTGCTGAACCTGAGGATTGTTCACAGTCATTGGATCAAAATTTGTCTCAAACTGAGATATCACCTCGTGACAGGCTTCGACTGTTCCTGTTGCCAATAATTTATTTGCCCATGCGTGATAGACAACTGAACGATGCTGCGACATGGTGCTGATTGGATAGAGACTACAGATCGCTGAATACTGACTGAGCAGATCTAGACAACTGCGTATGAGTATCGATTGCTGCGTGGCTAATTGTGTTAATTCATTTTCAGACTGTTCACACTGTACGATCATCTGACTTTGTCCTGCATTCTGTAGGAACTCCTTCACCAGGTCGAATACCAAGTGATCATCCTGAGTCGTTGGTGTACCCACTTCCGCTAACCATTGACCAAGCTGCGGTCCTCTGACGGCCGTTAGGGCGATCTGATAAGAACAAAATTGAAAATATTGATTATCACGTGAATTTGCTTATGCGTAGAACAAAATTAAAACGATGTCTTCCACCTACATTATGCATATTGATATGTTTCTCGCATTCCTCAATCTTTTCCTTTAAACCTGCCTTAGCCTTTTCGTGTGCATCTCGGGCTCTTTTAAAAGTATTGTATCTCTTGACAACTGTGTACAATGCATGATTACGTCCCATAGCTTGTGCCTCTTTCACCAGTGCAAGTTGCTGATGTCTATCCTGAAGTAGATCTTGACATAGCTGCAAAGCTTCAGTAGCTTCTATCCATCTAGTCAACTGATGACACAAAGATGGGAAAGCCTCCCCCAATTCGTCCCTAAATACACAAGATTAAATGTTAAACAAATTAATCATAATTATAAATATGTACACAATATTCTTAAATTCAACATACCTATTAGCCAACCACTCGGCACGCATCTCCACGGTTCTCACAGCGAACATCGCCCTGGCTACTTCCTTTTCAAGTTCCTTTCTTCCAACACCGGTGCATCGAGCTCGAGCCTGGCAAGCACCATAGGTCGCAATACTATTCTCCGCACCAGCTCTCCAGTCGACAAGAGGATCATACACAAAGGCTTCCAGTAGAGTTAGAAGAGTTTCACGACCACGACGCATTACTCTCAGTGTGTGCTCACAAGTCAGTCTGAATATACCCTGAAAATCATAAAAGTCAATTATAAATCATGATCCTTGCAGAGTCACATTATCATAAAGATATAAATATTCAAGGTGCTCGCAGAAGGTCTAGTTCCCAGCGTTAAAGCCCAGTGTTTGGAAAAATTTCAGATCATCTGAAAAGATATTAAAGCAAAAGCATCGACGAATTGTGCATAGTAACCATATTTTACCCAGAGGCTCTGGGGGCCAGCTTAATACGTCAATTTGATGGATGGTTGTTACACGCCACTTTGGAACCACTCTACTCTTTATCCTACAATTTTAAACTAGTGTCAATATCCGTCACAACTAATTAAAAAATGAGCTTTCATGCAGAGGGATCATGGTGTGCCCATCGTGTATACATTTAGCTAATTAACACGTTTCGTACCGGACTTTTTTTTTGGTACTTTCCGATCATTCAGCATGGGGCGAATACGTCCCACGTGGCACGGAACGTGTTAATAATAGTTTCTAAACGTGATAATGTCACCATATGGATTTTATGCATCTGTAGAAATTTTAATATTGAAACCAGAAAGCTTACTACTCATATTAATTCAAGAAATTATAATCAGTAGGTTTCAAGCACAACTAAACGTAATGATCGTAACGTTCTATTGTATCAAGATCTAAAATAATTACTGATAGATGACTCTTGGAATTGCATAGTCATGACAATTTATCAAAGCTTCACTGTATTACCAGAAGCCAGACACACCAGGCATAACAAGCACTTAATTTTATACAGCTCATGGGGATAAGTGATAACACATTAATATTCTAGGCTATTCTGAAACATTATAAATTATCCCTATCGACTATATTGCTCTGGGAGCATCCAATACGTAATAAAAATGTTGTTGTCCGAGCAGCCTACCCTTAAAAGGTATCGGATAAATGCTCAAACAGTAGATTAATCAGGTCACGTGATCATTATTTCAAACAAACAAGAAATATGGAATTTTTTTCACCAAGGGAGTGCAGAGTCGCGTTCACGCTTTATAATTTACAAAGAGGTAACGGATAGTTAAATTAGAAGTGAATTTTCATGAGTTTTAACTATGCGCAGAATAACCAGTACCTCCTCAAGGTAATGAGTTAACATAATTTAGCATATCTGCCTTTTCCTTCAAGGGTTATTCCTGTACTGTATCAGGTAAACCTAGATTCGTATTTCCACTTTGTGTCCATTATACTGAAAGTAAAAGGGCTTCCTCATCCATGTTGCTGGGCAGGTATTCCAGGGCAGTGGGCCAACTTTTTTTAACTTAATGGATAGTATATCCATAGATCTATGATCGTGTGGGTATCTGACAGATGGAATTGATAAAGAATACAGCGACCCCACTCTTCAACTGGATCCTTAGTGACTTCTACTTCCGATATTATTTTCAGTTAGGTCAGTATGCTTTTGTATCCTCGCGCGAAAGCTCACGTTCTCCAGTGTTGTGGTTAAAGTCATGCGCAGGAATGATGATACTGCATATCGCGTTTTGCCCATTTCCTGTGTCCGGTCTGATTTGATACTTCATATTATAAAAGCTCCAAATCATTGACAGTTCCTTGGCACAGACAGATGTATTAATTAAAATATATAATCAAACTTAAGTAAAAAACTCACAATTGACCCATGCAATATTAACATTATTTAATAAATGAAGAAATTATTGGATTTGAATTTGGTACTGGTTTTAAAGAATTTACGACGAATGACGCCTGTGGGATATATTAAATGTGATTAATACTTTCAAGATATAATTCAATCCAAAAAGATTCCACAGTTACACTCTTGTACCAAACGAAGAGGCTGAATTGCATTTCAGGATGTTATTCTGTGTGAACGGATTTTTGAATATTTGTAAATTACAAAATAATACCGCCAAAGGTTTTCAACTGACTTCGTATGGAGTTGGAATTAAATAAAACAGTGTGACGTAAGTAATAGATACATCAGTGCACGCAACTCCAAATTCGTGGATAGTTCTCAGCAACGACTAAAATATAAATTCACGTTAAAACGTCACAGTTTTGTTATCCCACTGGAAGTAATAATAAACGATCCGTACTAACATCAATTATTTGTAGAGTTTATAAGGGAAAAAAAGTCTAGAAAGAATTTAAATAAAGTAAGCACACTAAATTAAAATCAGCGGATGAAATATCAATTCTACTACCCAACAACACGTCATGTCAGTGACGCTATCATAAATGACATTATATTTCATTACTAACAGAAAGCGAAAGGTGAAAATTGTTATCTAATAATGGTGAACTCTTGTCAAAACATTTTTCGGGGAACTCTTCAACTGATAAGACCTCACGAACTTTTTCGCATCAGCGAATATCGATTGTATTGTTCTATACTCCTGATATCCATGTTCCCTGCTGTATATAAATATATATTTAAAAAATTTGGTTTTAAAAGACAGTCAATATTGTTTTCCTTTCTATATACTCATTTATCTTTTCTGAAACTATAGAGCAATGCTCGTTAGAAAAAAAAACTTGGTCGTAACTACACTATAGTAGAAATCGGAATTCCTTAACCAAATAGAGACTGGTAGTTAAATCTATCCAAAACCTGTTTCAAAGCAAGTCTTAGAGTTTGGACCTTAACCATGGATGATTACATTATAATAAGAAGCGGGAAGATATTAAGGAGGAACTTTGACATTAAGCCTCGTGCAGAACAAACAATTCGTCACAGGATAGTTTCCCATTAAGAATCACTGGATTGAAACGCGAGTAGAAAGTAATATAGTAATTCTTATTTTCAAAAATTCTTAATGCCTACTTCTCGTGAGCAGTTATCTAACGCTTAAAGGTATACCAAATTTTCATTTTTTTTTCAGAATAATGGTAACAACCCAGCCCTACTATCAAATCCAGAACGTCACTACAGTAGTGTACAGTTTAGCAGACTACTACATGTTTTGGGCATTCATAGACGGCTTACTCTTTGCAATAATTATTTGCGGCAATATATTAACCATCCTGGCAGTGAGGCTTAGCCGTAGATTGAGAAATGTCACATCCAATTACTTTGTATTGAGTCTGGCGATTTCGGACTTCCTGGTGGGTCTAACGTTGCCATATCATTTGGCATTTTACGTGACCGAATTACTAGGCACTATACCTGCAACATGTATCATGAGATTTGTTTTGATCAGTCTGGCATGTTGCGCTAGTATATACAATCTGATCGCCATTGCTGTTGATAGATATATTGCCATAGTGCATCCTTTAAAGTATAGTACTTATATGACCAGAAGGGCAGCACTTGTCTTGATATTTCTTGGATGGATAAATGCCATCGCCATTGCTACTGTACCAATATATTGGAACTGTTTTGATGCTGCGACTGAATGTGAGATGGACACTGTGTTACCAAGGTAGTATTATCAATCAAGCTTGTCATACGATTGATTTGTGGTAACCAGATTTAATATAAATCATTTCCTTTAACATGTTGAACGCCTAGCGAAAATCGATCGAATTTGCTATGAGGACCAAATCCGATAATCGAAGTAGTAAATATACGGAAGGTGCATAGAACGATTATATTTATGTGTGTTAATTTCATTAAATACTTGTAAAATCCTATTTAACTGGACGATATAGAATGTCACCTATTTACGAGCGACGGAGCCCTACGAAAACAATCGTCACCCAGATCTGGATGATGCGGCGTTCAATGTGTCAATGACTGATCAGGTTACTGATTGACTGACTACTTTTTCTGTTTCCTAGGTATTATACTGTTGCCATATTGACTCCTATGCTCTGTTTTATTTGGTTGAGCATGTTTATTCTGTACTGGCAAATTTGGAAGGAGGCAAGCACACATGCTCGGCGTTTGAGACACAATGGAATGTATAATAATGGAACAAGCGATTGGAAAAGTGTTCAGGTAATAAAGGTTCTAATGTGTTTCAATTATGCGAATGAACTACTGGAAATTTAAAAAAATTGTTTTCACAGGTCGTTTTGCTGGTGCTAGGTTGTTTCTCTATATGTTGGCTACCGTATCTTATTGTGGCTTGTAGCAGAGCTTTCGATTGGCATAAGAAAGCTTCTCCTGTTGTGTATAAATCTATGTTTTCATTGGCTATGGCCAATAGTGGGATGAACCCAATGATCTATGCATGGAAAAATAAGAATTTTCGAAAAGCTTTTCAAAAGCTGCTGCACTTCCAATCACCAAATCGAAGCAATTTCAATTCTAGCTTAAAGAATTACTTACAAAAGCAGAAAGAACTTAATAGCCTTGAGAATAATAAAATGGAGGGAGATATTCGGCCGAATCAAAATGGTGGTTTATCAACTATTTGTAATAATTATATGTTTGAAAGCGAAGAGGCACTGGAGGTGACTCCGATGTAGACAGTATATCAGTACTTGTAATGTAATCAAAATAAATGTGTTAGTATTAAATTAAAGTCAAAATTTAAGTGATTCTTCATCAACAATCGACTTTCTTACATCCACATATTAACACATTTCTTAATGAGAATTTTAGACAAATTACTTACCTCGACACCTGTCACGCCTAGTGCAGTCTTGATATTTGGTGTCATTCTAAATGGAACTTTCTCAGGTACACGTAATGTCTTGCCCTTCTCAAAGCAGACGTTGTAATCGATGTGAACGACTTCGCCAGTATTGAGATCAACCAGAACGTTATCCAGATGACGATCCCCAAGTCCTATGATGTACCCAATTATGGACATCACTGCAACGGAGTAAGAATAATTCTTTGTTGCCTGCCACCAGCTTCCTGCATTGATGCTGTTACACCAAATTTCCCTAAATACCCAGAAAATAAAGACATTTAATTTTATCAAATGCAACAGTACACCTTGACTTAAGATTTTATATAAACTATTATTAGGATATATTGAGCAACAGGACACTCACTTAGCTAGTAAATCCTTTGGTGTCTCTGCCATTAGCTCAGCCAGGACTTGCTTGAGGACTGGAAGTGGCCATTCCTTCCTGTTTTCTAAAGCAATACCTCTCTCTTTCAACAACGGCGCTAATTTATTGTAGAATAATTCAGATGGTCGTAAACACGAAGAATTACCACCCTTAGAAGCCATTGCGGATTCTCTTTGCTGCCATCGTTTATACAGAGCAAAGAGTGGAGTCACGCCATCTACCCATTGAATGAGACCAGATCTTGGACCTAGTGGTATCACTGAATAGTGTCGTGCCCTGTAGATTTTCTTGGTGTCATTATTCTTAGACATCATAGTATTACAGATGCTCAAGAACTGCATAATCCGCTCGTCCAAGTGCAAATCCTCTAAGCCTTTGAACAGGTACGTGTAAACGTGTCCATCTGAACCATGAAAAACTAACTTTTTCGGTTTGGTCTTAGTCGGTAAAATCTGTACGTTATTATCCACAGATTTGATAGTGATAACTTTGTTATCCATGGAATTAACTCCAGGCATAGCTATACGGGTGTCCTTCATGTTCGCCAAAACGGGACTTATGTCCGACATAGCCAAATTATAGGTGCCACGTTTATGAACTCTTTGCGCCAATTTTGCTTCCAATTGCTTCAATGGTAAACTACTTTGCTGAGGCTTAGCCGGATTTTTGGGATTCTTCAATCTGTTTATAACCTCGTCGATACAGGGACCAAATTTCTCTTGAAAATTCTTCTCGTGAGGAGTCTCCGCAGGTACGGAAGTAATCACCAGTAAATTTTCCAGGATGAAAATGATAGGTTTAATAATGATTCTATGTTTTTCAATGATGAGTTTCTCCTTCTCTTCAGGAGTTATCCACACATTATCCAATACTTTTTGAATCTCGAGATCTAATTGCTCGAATCTCTTCGAAATTTCAGTATGGTGCTGACATAGAGTTGCTAACCACAATTCATCCCATAGTAAAGTGATTCTACGTAATTCCCTCACGAGGACTCTGACATGTTCCACAGAATCTTGAATTCTGTTCAAAAGACAATCGGATAGTTGCAGGAAGCAATTGTCTAGGAAGCACTGACTTTCATCCGGTTGATTGCTCTCGTTGTTATCTTCTTCTAAGAAGTCCAGATCGTTCTGAGAACCGTCATTCTCCGGCTTCACATATGCAGGATTTTCGAAGCTTCTCTTCTGTCCGGATTCCGCACCTACTACAGCAGGAAACGTGATCAAGTGTGGCGAATTTTCAGCAATACGACAAAGAAGCTCTGCCACTCGTGTACGAACGTAGGATTCCGGGTGACTCAAACGTGAAAACAATTGCGGTATGATCTCCTTCCAGGGTCCAGTTGGAGTTGCAGACAGTCCAGCTTCTAGAACGTTTTGCAATTCCAATGCGTGCTTCACGATCAACCGCAGTAATCTGAGTGTCGCTGTAATCGTAGCGCAATCATTTGTTTCTTTATTAGCTAATTGCAGATACTTGAAATAAGCATTAGCCGAAAGCTCGTAATAAGAGTAGATTCTCTTCTGAGCTTGTCTCCAGATATCTACCAGCATTCCCAGATGTTCGTTACTGGCACAACTCAGTGTACATACATTTCTCAATTGATTTTCTATCATCTCTGAGGTATTCACATCGTTCGTGTCTATGTCGCCCTCGTCCTCAGGAATAGTTTTGTTCTGACTGAGAATAGAGAAAATGGCATTTAGATCACTTTCCGGTATGTCCATTGGCAGTAGAGACTGAATATTCATGCGATCCGTATCAGTCAATTGACCTGAATTTGAATTGTCAACAATCTTTCTGCCCCACTTATAGCACCAAGCAGCAAAATTTGACCAAGCTGGTGGTAAGTCTGGACATTGATTGACACCGAGTTGCATGAGTTTCCCTATCACCATGTCCGACGAAGGAATTAGATCCGTAGTTTCTCCGAACAATTTATCCATAAGTCCATCATTATGCAGAGCCTCGAATCTCAGCAATTCTTCCAACTGTGAATTATCGTTGATCTTAGCATCTTGCTGAATCCACTTGCTAAGTGTAAGAAGTAGCTTCGTACCAGTCTCACGCAGTTCAACTGTTTGCTCGCCGTTTACTATGGTCTGTGAAATTCCCAGGGCTGTTACGCTACACACTTTCAAAGCATCCTCGACATTCTCCATCCTGTAAAGAAGTTTTGATGTTTCCCTAAACGCTCTCATATTGTTTTTCGACCACTTAACACAAATAGGAGCGTCAAGCATGTTAGCCACAATATCCGAAAAGGTACAATTCTCTTTGTAATTAATGTTGAACAAGTCTTGCTCAGTCATGAAGTGTTTTGTGATTTCACGTTTAGCCAGATTGAAATTTCCTTCCTTTCTTGCATTTCTGACAACATGAAGTCTCAGACTGGCCACCTCATTGGAGCAGATGTTATTCGCTTTAGCAAAGTATTCAGACCACCATAGAATTTGTGTAAGAACACCAGAGTCTAGGTAGTTAATCTTATCCACTCGGTAGAGATCAAACACGTTATTAGCCTTGCCATTCAGTAAATTAGAAAGACCTGTTCCACAATACTGTATAAGTACAGATTCATTTAAATATTCAGATGGTAAATTTCGCAATCCTTCCTCTGTCGCTTTGGCCGCAATTCTTCTGCAACGCTCTATATCTTCGCTGTATGAATCATTATAATCATTATGGTGCACTCTTAGGGCAACATTCATCAAAGTATTCGAACATTCAATCATCGACTTTGTGCAACTCCAATTAGTCTTGTCTTCCTCATCGAACAAAGCCCAGTTACTTAATTCCTCAAAGGTGATAACTTCACCCTCTTCAAATTTAGTCAAACACTTTGCTTGTTGTGGGACTGTGGTCTCTAATATTTGTTTTTTGAGAAGAATATTTTCGTCTTGGTTCAGTATTTCCATTTCCTGCTTCTTCCATGATTCAAGTTGTTTCCAGTCTCCTAAAGCCCTGTAACACTTGATCAAGTACTGCATACAAAACGCAGTGGCCTGTATCTCGCTGTCAAATTTCACAAGTTTGGATTCATCCTCTGACTTCGTGGATACTAATTCCTCTATAATCTGTTTGTAGCTCTCCGCAGCAGACTCATAGTGACCTGCAGCATGTTCCATGGCGGCTTTAAGCCACACGAACTTGCGATCCTTCTCCTTGGTGTAAACGTAAAGGCCCTGCAATGCTTCAGCTTCACCCAGCATAACCAATGCCTTAGTTGTAAGTAGAACAGCTCTTTCGAATTCGGGACCTTGTGTATTATCAGCATTGCTCAAGTCTTCCAGGAGACGCTGTCCATTCCTCACAGCATTCGTGGCCAATCCTGCATGTAAAGAAACAACGCAAAGGGCAAGTCTTATGCGATTGAGCCACTCCTTGCATGTGGATCGATTCGTATGGAAAAAGGTTCTGACTGGTTTTGACAAGGGTAGCAACGCCATCGCACATCCCTCTGCAGCATTATGAATAACTCTCTCAAGATGTTCCAGGAACTCTATGAAGAGTCGTACACGCGTATATTCATCCAATAGATAATCCAACTTGCACCCCTCTTTCTTAACAGCTTCGGAATTGCATGAGATCTCACGCGCCAGCATTTTCAAAGCACTTTCAAATGTCGTAAAAGTTTCCTGCGGCTTTCCTAGTGACGTACGTAGTTTGTTAATGACACAATGTTGAGCAGCTTCCAAAGTGCCCCAGAAGAAGAGAAAGCATCGATTGGCCAAAGCCATTTCGTACATTTTACCAATACTCTCGTTTTCAGATCTGGCAAAAAAAAGTCCACCATGAACTATCTGATCTTATTAATTCATTCAATAAATACTTACACGGTCGGCCAGCACAACGTAAATAGTTCCATAAGGGCAGAGACGTCTAGTTCATTCTCTCTCATTAAAAATCCCATATGAGTTTTGAAATGATGAGCCTGCATTTCACCATTGTTGTTTCCACGCATGTGAAGTCTTTCCGCTAGAATCAGAGACTCTCTTGAGTAGTTCTTGATCTCTTGAAGTTTCTAGAAGAAAGAAAAAACATCCTTCCACTCTAGTACTATATAAGGGTTTTGAGTAATTTCAACTCTTTTATGCAAACCTTTGTCTCTGATATAAGGCATTCTTTGTTTAGTTTTGGGATAACAATATTAAGTGGTACATTCATGAGAAGCCGACTGTACTTCTCACGCACGTTCTTGTTATACGATGTCAAATGCAATATGGCGAGTTCAACAATATCTACATAGATTTGCTCAGGCCAAGTGACACTTTTCACACTCATCAAAACCTCGAAGTTGTTGCAAACAGCCAGTGCTATCTCGTGGTTGGTCGTAGCACCACAAGCAAGTAGACTACTTATAACATTCTGACATTCTTCGGTTTTATTCAGGATTCCAATATAATTTTCAGCTTGGCTGGATATCTCCTGTACCCAGTTCGCAAGCAAAAGTAGAGTCTGACCAGGAGTTTCTTTTTTGTACGTTTTCGCAATAAGATTTAAAATGACCGACAAGTGGCCACTGGTTGGTGACGTGGTGGGTACGTCCAGTGTTCCTGGAAATATGTCGATTGGACGGCAGGCATTTGTACTATTTATCAGGCTGGAACTCGGTACGAAGTGGTTGTATCTGAAATTGATAAATTTAAGTATTTCATTCAGATTAACAGAAATTCCTCTACTTTACCAAGTGACGGACTCACCTTGAACAGTGTGCATAGAGTAGATATAGAATACTGTATTGCAGAAGAGGATTAGCCTTGGATAAAGCCTGGTCATAGGGTTTTAATTTAACTGCTAATAGTTCCAGGATGCTCGGTTTCAGCGCCCACATACCAATAATCGAGTTGCTTGCATTTGCTGAAAATTCCCTAGGTTTAATGATCCTCGTAAATGTCATCCTGAGACAGTGATACTTACCTATGTCGGATAAAGCGCGTAGCAAGAAGATCACTACGATTTCCGCGTGACCCTTTTTGTACTTGACGTCGACTAACGGGTTATCGGTAACTAGAGGCTTTATGTCGTTAACTATAAGCCTGTAAGCGATCTCCAGATCAGCCAGGATATACCGATAGGCTTCTTGGAGCAGAGGAATATTCTTCAGGCTAAGGAGGCTGTGGTATACTCCAAGACTGGCATTCTGAATAGGTACGGAATTTCGGACACGTAGTTTGAGAAGCGTTGAGTTCTGTCCAAGAAGCTTGTGAACTAGTTCCAGTGGTAAATTAGCTGATACTTCCTTGATGACCTTGGCGATAGTGCTCAGGGTGGAAACTATCGTATCGTCCCCGAAGATGTCAACCTTCTGAAGCTGGAGATCGATAAACTTGTAAAGAAGATCATGATTCTTGGTAATACGACTCTGAAGATGACCTAAGAGAAGAAATGCGCACTCGTTGGCTACAACGATGAGCTCCTCTTTCTCCTCCGAGAGATCCCGACACTTCTTTCCCTTCAGGTCCATGGATTTCAATAGATTTATCAGGGACTGTTCTTTTTCCTTGGGGGAGATATCTTTCTCGGAGCCGATCTTTGAGTTCTTCCTGTCATTCCTTTTTCCGATGTTTAACGACTTTATCATCCTGATGAGGCTCTCCTCATTCGTGTCATCCTTGCTCAGGTTTTTTAGTAGCATTTCTATATTCTTCTGAGACAGATTCATACTCTTCATAAATCTGGTGAGGCTCTCTGTGTTCTCGTGAGAGAGGCCAAAGTTTGTCCAGGTCTCATTGCCGTCGTCTAGCTCGACGGCCTTCACTACGGTACGCAGCATCTTCGACAAACAATCCGATAAGAATGACCACTGCACGTTTGGCGTTAAATTAGGATTCAAGTGCTCGGCGATGCTCTTCGTCACTGTATTGAAGACTGATATTAAAGATGTAATACGTAGAATGCATTCACGTGGACTTGGCGATACATCTTCACCAGGAGAACTTCTTCCAGAACCCGGTAACGTCAACTCCTCGTCGTAGCTTTCCATGTCTTCAAGAAATTGCCCTAAGAGCGTTAAAGTGAACTGCAAATCGGCGATCCAGAAGTTTCGTAGTTTCTGTAAACTTCGACTTGCATAAGCCACCACGTGTTTTTGCTGTGTGGAATCTATGTGCCAGCCGACGAGGATGTCGACTGTGTCGCGAAAGTGGTTTGAAAATGTTTCAGGATACGAGTCGATAATTAACAGTATCGCGTCTACGGTGGCCATTAAGAGATCTGGTCGGTCAACATTTTCCAGTGTCGATTGTAGTTGTGACATCATTGGCTGAAAACAGTTATGAAATATCTTAATAAATAGCGCAATTAGAATTAAAATTAGTTTTAAGAGAATACATTTTTTTTCAGTAGATTGCGTACAAATTGTCCGATTCTTTTTTAACACTTACCACGGAATATTCTTTCAATTTTGGCGCTTCCGCATCCAATCTGAATGTCTCGACAAATGATTTCATTAAAAGACATTTGACGTCATCTTTACGTTCCGAAGTGTATTTGCTAAATATCCATTCCATGAATCTACGCATTGAAAGAAACTAATTACAATTTACATCGTACATAGCATTTCAGTATCTCAATAATTTTTTATTATCGTGACGTTTCATATTACGCAATGAAAGTCTCCAAGTGGTCAGTTTATCAGTCAATAAAGAACAGTTTATCATTTACCTTTTAAAATCATGATCGACAACATATCCAACATGACCCAGGCACTTAGCTGCCTGTTGTTTTGCGTCCGGACCAGGACCAGAGCGTAAAGTGTCCAGTAAAGTGTCGCATATAACTTCTATACTGCGTCTGACATATCTCTGATTTTCAGGCGCCATTATGACTTCCTGCAATTGCTTGCAAAGTCCCATAAAATGGTCGTAGTCATCGTCCCGACTAAGTCGTCTAAGGAGTTTAGATATTCTTGAATCCTCTGTAAGATTGGTTAATAAGTAAAATATACTACTGGATGAATTCATCTACTTAAGGATTGCAACTCATGATTCAGATTGCGTTACCATTTATTTTTTTATCATCGTAATATTTGATCTGCGAATTCTCTTGATTTTTCAGCGATTCTTGAAACTTGGGTCGAGGCATAGCGTGATAGCTTGTCTCTGAATTTGTGTCCCTTTCGACGGACGTCTTCTTGAAGGCTCTACCCCTTGAGCCGCCTCGGCCGCGGTCTCCGGTACTTCCTCCACGAGCCATTCGATAATCATTGCGCGGTCCTCCGCTAGTCCTAAAGAGAAGCACATTTTGTAATAATTAAAAATTTTGCAAGATATCATATAGATTAATCAATTAACTGTTTGAGTTATGGGACTTAGCACTAATATTGTACGAGGGATGATTGGGATTTATTGTGCAACGTTGTGCAATTCAGGGCAACACAGCAATTCCTTACACAAAATGTGAAAAATAACTGTGATAATAAACTGAAAATATAGAGATAGACTATGATTGGTTACTACATTATGCAATAATGAAATGCTACAAAATAATTACATGTAATAGTTAGGAATTTTTATTGTACTGAAATATTAAATAGCAGCATACTCGTATAAAGAATTATTAAAGATTATATATATATTGAAAATAACAACTCGTGCATACCTGGATTTAAATCTCGAGACGCCGTGATCGGCCGGGTAATTACTGGAATTTCTCTGGCAAATGACCAAGGTGCCTTGCGGAATATTGAAATCATTTACGCAATAACCTGTCAATGTGTCTCCTTCACCCTTATCAGAATTGCCTATGAAATTGTTTGTGACAGACTCCTCCTGAATCTCCAAGTTCTTATTTCCACATAGCTTCGTGCTAGTATTTGCGTTCTCACAGTTATTCATCACATCACTCTACGGGTGGTCGGCATGACCCACACTTTAAAGGCGTAACCTCAGGTTACTTATTGGTGATCACCTATAACATCAATACACAGAGTAAAAACATCATAATATAATGTTGCTCCAAAATAATTGAGCCAGACTCCAAATTTAAAATCAGTATAATACATTAAATATGAGTATTTTTGAACCACCTGCTTTATGTAAATATAAGTATTACATTACACAAAATTTTAAGTATTAATTCCAATAGATTTTCATTTCCCCAAATCAATAGTCTCCTTGAACAATATCGAAAATAAGTAAATTCATATTAGAGTAGACTTTAGCAACCCTTCGGTATATATCCAAAAACTATTTCAGTATGGATCAGTGATGGACTAATCCTGCAATTTACTTTAAATACACTCACACACTTGATCAAACACAAAATTTAATGATTTAATAAGATTTGCCCAAAGAAGGAGCTTGGAAACGTGTAATTCGGTAACAAAACGTAAACATCAAAGTATTTTTTAGCCTCTAGTGTGTCACCCTCGTCAAAATTAAAGGACCCAGAACACAGAACGCTTACAGCTTTAACAAACCTGATATCACAAAACGTGATTGTACGAGAAACTTTTACAGGTCCAGTGATATACTTGGCATAACGATAAACAGCAAGAAGGTTACAAAAGTGCTACGTGAATACCCGTTCGCAGCATCATACAAAATTCGACACAACAACCGAAAGGAAACACAGGTTCCACCTTCTTGATAGAATTTCCAAATACGCGAAAATATGCATTAAGCCATAACTGATGTTCAATTTTAATCGCAACATTACCTTCACCGTGGAAAAGTGTTTTTCGTTGAATTTACTTAAATGTTCTGCAATCGATCAATCAAAAAAAGAAGCATAAGCTGAAACGACGCACAACGTGTGTCCTAGCGAACGCACTCTGCATTGAAAAAGTTCCACGGCTGATTGCCACAGTTATTTCCTACGTCGGACAGTACAGAGTCGTACGTTTTGTCGATGACGCTGCCTGAATCCCTTATGATTAGTTTCTCGTCCATTAAATAACGCCCTATAGTCAGCAGCCAATCAGCATATAACTTGATGTTGCCCTTAGAGAAAATCTAAACGCTCATTGGTCTTGAAATCAAGAAAAATCTTATTACAGTTCGATTAAGATATATTCATAATAATAGCAAATATTACCTGGTTAGATATAACGTTTCAGTATGACTTTAACCAATGAAATAACTACTTTTTATGAACAATCATAAGTTGTACGAAAAACTAACTTTAATATCTCATCTTTGCTATCTTCTTGAGCAACAGCCAATCAGATCATAAAAACTAGTTTGCACGCTCTTTCAAATAATTTGAACTGCCTGCGTTCTAAAATTAGTCAACATTCTTAAAGAAAAGGAACTTCGGCCTACGGGGTAGAGCTGAAAATAAATAAATTCCATTAAAAATATAAATCTGTTAACACAATAACAATGGGCGATGTGTCACAAATTCGTTCAGTCGAAGAGAGCGAAGAGGAAACATTTCAGGATGTAGAAATGCTTCAAAGTCATGGGATCGTAACTGCTTTTAACAGTACTCCACGTTAATCTTTTGTCTTACTGGACAATTTATTATAAATAAGTAATTGTTCTGTCTAGAATGTGGCTGATATTAAGAAATTAAAATCTGTTGGAATATGTACTATCAAAGGAATTCAGATGCATACGAAAAAACGACTTTGCGCCATTAAAGGCTTTTCCGACGCCAAAGTTGATAAGATTAAAGAAGCTTGCAGTAAAATAGTACATTGTGGTTTTATGACGGCTTGCGAAGTGAATGATATGCGGAAGCGCATATTTCACGTGTCTACCGGAAGTCAAGAACTTGAGTATAGAATATTTAAATTTAAATACAGCAATAAGCAACACTTTTATTACTTGTATTATGAAAATATTTTCTTTTTGATATCCTAGTAAATTATTGGGTGGCGGTATAGAATCGATGGCCATAACTGAAGTTTTTGGCGAATTTCGCACTGGAAAGACACAATTATCACACACTCTTTGTATCACAGTACAAATGCCTGGAGTTGGAGGATACACTGGTGGGAAAGTAATATATATTGACACAGAGCACACATTGTATCCTTCAAAATATTCATACTTGTTAAACACAAATATCGTAGTTATCTGTGATCAATGTATTATCTCCTTATGCAGTATCATACATATAGTCGACCTGAACGACTTCGAGCAATTGCAACTAGATTTGGTTTGGATGAAGATGCAGCGCTTGATAATATATTATATGCTAGGGCTTATACCAGCGAACATCAACAGGAACTTCTTGATTACGTTGCAGCAAAGTTTCATGAGGAAGCTGGAATATTTAAACTTGTAAAACATTACTGTTATTAATTTAGTACCGAACATTTAGTTTTACATCCTAAAAATTTTGTTAACTTTCAAGCTAATCACATGTACAGTGATAGATTTATCGTTTAACTTTTTTTCTGTTATAGTTGATAGTGGATTCGGTAATGGCTCTTTTTAGAGTAGATTTTAGTGGCAGAGGAGAATTATCTGAGAGACAACAGAAGCTGTCTCAAATGATGTCACGCTTGCAAAAAATTTCAGAAGAATATAATGTGGCTGTTTTTATAACTAATCAGATGACAGCTGATCCTGGTGCCACCATGTCGTTTCAAGTAGATCCAAAGAAACCAATTGGTGGAAATATCATAGCACATGCTTCCACAACGAGGATATCCTTAAGGAAAAGCAGGGGAGAATGTAGAATTGCAAAGATTTATGACAGTCCTGATATGCCAGAAAGCGAAGCCACATTTGCAATTACTCTTGGTGGTATCGCTGATCCAAAAGACTAACTGTTCTTATATATAATCATTCAGAGGACATAATATTTAATACCATTACTGATCATACCTATATCAATGAAATTGTAAATTTCAATTATATTTATAAGACTAAAATGTAGAATAAAGTCACTTATATTACCTAAAAAAAAAGTAGGAGAACCTTATTTACACTAATATGACTTTAAAATTATACTCATTTAATGAACAGTAGTGATCTAGATACAGAAGGCCCGAGTAGACGTTCAGACGACGAAGTAATTCACTCTCTCATAATAAAAATGGAGATTGTGTCAGTAGATACAAGATACTAATTACATCGCACATTCCGAGACGATCCATATTTGCCAATGATGCTTTACAGTTAGAGTAACAACGGACTACAACAGGCGCAGTGGATAGTTTGATTAATGTTCATCATCAGGCATATTTTCAATTGCTGAAAGCTGAGAGTCTGGATCATGAGGCCAGAATGTTGGATTGTTAATGGGGTCCAAAGCCTGTTCAGGATACGCGTCCTTGAAATCTTCCATTGTCATTTGACCGAACGGAATCAGAGATTTCAGATGGGAAATTTGTGTGTTGTATTCTTCAATACGTTGATTCGATTCCTGGACGAACTGTTTAATATTTCCTTCCTATGATATGGAAATATAAATATTTCTGTATTATATCAATACTCTTGAAGTATTAAAATAACAATATGAATAAGAACATAAATTTTTTCAATAGATGTGTCATAATATAAGTGAATCTTACAACTTCAACAGCCTCTGCATCAACCAGTTTGGTATAATTATCTGCAGGATACGGAATTGACAATGATTCATATTCCTTTCTGAACTTCTCAACCATTCCAGCGATAGGGATGTTCTTTTGGTAAAAAGACCAGTCGATTTTTGGTGCTTCAGGTGGGTTTTCTTGAACACTGAATCATACAAAAAAATATAAAAATATAATCCACAAATTATACAATTACAGTCATGTGAGAGCATTCAGTGGCACTTTACAAGATGCACAAGTAACTTCAACAACTGCAGTCTACCAAAGTTTTATATACATACGGACAATTCAAATGATACACATAAATAATAACTGAAAAGAACTTTATCATATACAGATATTATATACCAATTTCCATTACTATAAAGTTTAAAATGACATTACATAATAATCATAGATTTTCTAAAACAGATCAGTATGATTTACTTTAAACGTACCGGCGAAGATATTGATCAGATTTGGCTCTGAAAGCGGCCAGGGCAGGCTTTTCAGCTTCAGGCACCCTCTCAGCTAGAGCGGCCCAATTTATAGCAGTAAGAGCTCGGCGTGACATTTTCGCGTGACCCAATCCAACAATGCTCCAAAAGACTCACGGGAGACCAATATGGCTTCGCCGAAGAAGTAGCAGTCGACGTAAAGTCGAATTTCCACAAGATCTCCCCCTCTATCTTTAAAAGCGACAGTGCTGCCACCTTGCGTCAATATAAAATTTATAAAGCCAAGTACACACAACTACATTTTATCGGGCAACCAAAAAAAAATGCGCCATTTTAACTTGCCTGAAATTCATTAATCATTGTGCCAAATATAATAATATAAAAATATTCAGTAGCTACATACACACGTCATAAATTAATCGTAGAATGTCTTACGAAGCTTATCGAGAGAAGTTAATTAAATACACTGTTTATATCAAAATATGTCTTTCGCTCACCCAGGTTTATCTGTCAACGAAGACATATTTGCGGACAGGACTTAAATTTTATCATTGCGGACAGAATACGTGTGAACGGTGGCTGAAAGTATATACTATGTATACAATTTTCCTGTCTACAAAGCTATACAAAGCACAACAGAGGGTCGTGTAGTGAAGCCTTGGTAAAATTTGGGAGGCTGAGGGCGTGTTGGAAGGCAAAGTCTGGATCGATAAAACAGGATATTCCTGATGACGCGGGGTGCACGAGGAGGCGAGGGCGACGGAGTGGGTGGTGATGGTTGGGTGGTGAGCATAAAGAGGATAGAATAATATCGGTGCGCGTCTCTCTGTCCCTTCGATTCCGCCGCTTTAATATCGGCGGACTTAGGATGTAAGTAATGCCCAAGAAAAGTACGAGGCATGTGAAAGAATCAGGAACAACAAGACGGACTCACGGGTGTGATCCCGTTGTGGCTCCTGAAGTCAAAGTGAAGCACTTTCGTAACGTTCATATTGGTGTTGCGAATGGTAGACGCTGGCTTTCCCTTAAAAAGCGTCTAGGACTGAAAACCGACGAGGATCTCGCCGAATATTTACTCAACTTAGCAGAGTCTGTCGCCAGGTATGTCTCGTACGGGACTAACCATTTGTCATTTATTTGGGCCTCATCTTCGTCCACATGGGAGGGAGAACTGTCACTTACACGGGACTTCCCCTCTACTGTCATTTGATGTTTTTGTATTATCGCCATCTTGCCCGGCGAGCAGCGGGAGGTCCTAATCGATAGGTGTATGAAAACGCGGGATTTCCCGTCTGGCATTGTTAGTTTTTAAATTGAATTTCTATGGTATAGTTGAATTTTATTATATTATTGAGAAAATCTATTAAAAGGTGACGATTTATACTCTAAATTCATTTTTGATTCAAATTTGTATATTTTTTATTAATTAATGTTACGATTTATTATGCAGTTGAACATAACAGTTTTATTTATATGATGTATGTAATAATTTACACATGTTATAATGAAATTTCAATTTTATAGACAAGATGATAAGTGCAGTAGTACTAATGGATGGAAGGCAAACCAGGATGAGGAAAATGAGTCGGAAGCGGTCACGACTGAAGAGACTGTACTAGATGTAGAGGAACCTCTCCGGCGTAGTCCAAGGAAACAACGTGTTTCCACAACACCAGACCCTGTTGCATCTTCCACGGATGCATTAGAGACTGTAGAATCGGATGATGCTGAAAATGTTGCAAAGATACCTGTTAGACGCAGCACAAGGACCAAGCACCACAAGAATAAAGCAAAACATCATAGGGAGAAACGTAAAAAGAGGAGGCATTCGAAGAACCTAGAGGATGCTGCTCTGACAGAGGTTAACGAGGCCGACACGGCGACTCCATCTGGCGATGAGACGAAAATCTCTGACAAGGATGAGGATAAGAAATCTCGTAGAAACAGTGTAGACACCAAATCGAAATTATTAGTAGAACATCTGAGGGTCTCTGCAAAAGAGGCAGAGTCCACCACGTCAAAGACTGACAAGATAGATACTGTAGAATATATAGAGGATATAAATAAGAAGGAAAGCGATAGTACTGAGATCGTGGAAGATCGGAATGCAGTCTGTGAAGAAAGAAATAATAGGGAAGTTCAGAAGCCTGACACAGTAAGTGAATATGAGGACAGTATAAGAAGTCCCGTGGTTAAGTGCTTGAACCAGGAAGCAGTAGTAGAGACCAAAGGAATCAAAGTATCTGCAGAAAATTCCAACGATGCACAGCTACCTGATACTCATAGTGGTGAAAATAAAACTTTAGACTATTGCGAAGAAAATGAGGATGACGATCGAGTCACAGGTTCTGAAAGCTTCAAAGAGGAAGTGGAAACACTAAAGGAGGCTGATGATCACAGGAAGATGCGGAAGAAGCGAAAACGCTTTAAACATGACACTAATGAGACCACAGCTGTAAAGGAGTCACCTGAAGGAGCAACCAATGAATTTACGCATAAGCATCGCAAGAAGAAGCACAAACATACCGGTGAACACAAGAACAAAAAGCACCATGATGTTCGCAAGGCACCACAGGATGGTATTGTTATCCATGAAGAAACACGTACATCAACCCCAATAACCAATGATTCAATTCCCATAGTGCCCGATGTGCTACCCAACGATCTGAGCCAGGAAGGCGTTTTAAGTGAACCACAAAGATTCGCCATTAAGATAAAATTCTGTCAAGACTGTATGGATACGCATCTCCGTGACGCATGTCCTCTCACAGTGCCACACTACACAATTCCGGATTCTATAACTTATGAAAAGTGGTTAGACAGGCACAAAGACAATGCAGATATATCAAGGGCTGCTAATTCTGAAGATCCTATGTCAGAAGGATATGGGAGAACTTCTGATGATGGTTTTGAATCCGATGAGGAGACTCTCTCTATGGAACAGTATAAACCGAAGATTAAAGTGGAGAGTGAGGAAAAACAATTAGTTCTTGATTCAGATCGACCACTTTACGCACGAGATTCTCTACCTGATTGCTTTGAATTGAAAACAGCAAATTCTGAACATGGTATTGGCATTTATGCAAAGAGTGTTGTACCAAAGTTTTCAAAACTTGGACCTCTAGTGGGAAAACCAGTGAAAGAAATGGATATTCCAGATGATTTTTCAATGAGACATATATGGGAGGTAAGAATTTCCTTAAAAAATAATTCATAAATTCCTACCCATACGGTAATTACGGACTAATAACATTTCTATCATCTCACAGATAGACAATAATGGCAAAACTTCATATCTAAGCACTACCAATCCTTTAAGGAGTAATTGGATTCGATATATGAGACCAGCTGAAACAAGAAAAGAAGGAAGCGTAGCAGTTGTAACAAAACATGGCGAATTGTATTTAGTTACAACACAGAAAATCTCCTGTGGAATGGAGTTAACTTATTGGGCTGAGTCACAGTCTTCTGCATGGACTCGAAAGAACAAAATAGATAAAACAAGTAAATCTACTTTTATATTATTTACATAAATGACTGTATAAATTCGACCACTTACATTGTATTTGTTTTTAATAGATTGCGGAGGATGCAATTTAAATTTTATGCATCCTATATATTATCGCCTTCATTGTTGTATTTTTCATGACACCAACTACAGCCTTACCATTCGAAAATACCACTGCAAGGTAATAAATTATTTAAATAATGTCCCCATATAAAGTCTGTTTTCGTGAGCTTCTCCGCGATAACAGTATTTCTAGAAAAGAAGTACTAGTTTACATTTATATAGCAGATCGTGCATCCACATACATTATTCTTGTTCAAGGTATGCGGTGCAGCTGTTTTGGGTAAAGATAACATTATGAAGCACGCAGCTGAGCTGCATGCAGGTAGAGGCGCTTACCAATGTCAGTATTGTAAAAAATTCTTCTTAAGACTGAATTACCTTGAGATGCACAGGACGTATGGTTGCGCACAGAATCCACAGCGATCGAGACCGCTGTGTGATTTTTGTGGTAGGAAATTTTGTCAGCCGCAAAAGCTGAAAGTACACATCAAGAGGATGCATAGTGGTGAGACAAAATTTAATGAATTAATAAAAACAAATATTTGTAACCATTAATCTTACAGATATGTCTGAAGTATTACGAGAATTTCAATGTAAGTCGTGCTTGAAACTCCTGGGATCACGTGCCGCTCTTCAACGACACATGAAGGAAGTTCATCACAAGGACGTCGTAGGTGCAGCCACTTGTGATCGATGTGGCAAAATGTTTCAGAACAAAAGTAACTTGAAGATACACATGTTGACTCATAGTGGAGTTAAGCCATTCAAGTAAATATCTTCTACAATTTGCCCTATGGTTTGTTTCATACGAATTAACTGAACTTCTATTTTTTTTCTTTAGGTGTAAGGAGAACGGTTGCAAGGCAGCTTTTACAACGAAACAGTGCTTGCAATTTCATTATAAAAAGGTGCACGGTCTCACGGAGGAAATGATGCCCAAGATTGAAAGGTCCGTTGCGTATACTTTCGATGCGTACAGCGGAGGTCTTGTGGAAGATGTTGGACGTGGAAAGACACCCCGGTTAAACAGGAGAAACTCCCAGGTGGGTACAGATCATAATTTTATATAGATAATTTTACAAATATTTCAAATTGTTAGCCCATGTTTTGTATTTCCAATAGGACAACAGCAATAGCCTCCCATCGTTGGATGACTGCAGTTCAGAAAACAGTTTGAAAACCGAAACATCAGTTAATTCGAATCATCCAAGTATCATAGAATTTCCAAATAATTCAAATGCTACTAGCAATTTTAAAGTGGATCGCGAAAATCATCCATCATCATCACCGCCACCAGCACCATCATCACAAACCATCATACCAGTACCAACAACAATGGAATCCACCCTGGAGACTGTCCGTACCGACGTGGATCTTTATGGGACATCAAGGTTACAGAGTAAAGGCAGTAAAAAGTGGATGGGTGAATTTAATCCGCCTGTTCCTTCGAATATATCAACGAGTCAACTACAAGTTGCAGCAGCTCCAGCAGATGTTTATGAGTTTGAAGAGAGTAGAAAGGACGAAGAGGAGAAATCAACGCCAACACCTGCTCAGAGTCTTATCGACGAGAGTAAACTGGGTCTGAACGTTTATAGGAGGACAGAAAGCTCCAATGCAAGTTTACTCGTAGAAGCTGCCCTGGATGCTGCAGAAAGAGATATAGGCGCAGTTAGTAGTCCTATGCTCGAAGATAATGACCGGGATACTAATCTCTATTCTATATCAACGCAGTTACAGTCCCCGATGCCACAGAGATCACCAGAAGGTCATCTCGATTCATACATACAGCAGCAAGAAGAGCTAATATCTCCTGCACCGACGCCCGATAATAGACATTCACCACCTACCCACCTGCACATGGACTACCATCTTCATCGTCCTGTAGATTATATAAATGCTGCCAGAACACATAATATTGAACAATATTTACATCACGAGGATCTACCTCGAGTATCCTCACCCAGCAGTTACATTCATGTCCAACAAGAGGATCTAGTGTCTCCTGCAGCTACACCAAATCCACGATATCAGGATGTCCACCATCACCATCAGGTTCCTACGGATAACCTTTCCAGCGACGAGGGTGACTCCGTGGCGCAGAATCTCAGCTTATCCGTCAAGGAGAAGGCCCTTCAGCTTGATCTCTCCACGTCGTATAAATATGATTCTTTAGAATCAGACTTCACCAGAGAACGATCCAATTTCGAGCCTCTAGTATTGAACAGTGGTGAACTCCAAGGTCTTGATATGTCTGCAAGAGGATTCCACCATAGCTTTGGTGCTCAAGTGCAGAATACAAGATACCATCATCATCATTTGTACGAGATTACTGAAAGACAAAGTGTTGATCTAAGTAGAACTGGTGGGTACTCTATGTCACCACCTCCACCACCGCCACCCTATCCTCACAGTGATGTTCTGAGGGTAGTCAGTTTGGATCTCACACCTGGTGGGAGGCACAGTGTGGATTTAAGCCTCTCCAGATCACATCATTTACATGGCACAGGTGCACGTATGATAGTTAGTCCTCAACCTCCAGGATCCTCGACGCCACACGTTGTTCCCGATACTGTCGAGGGTCGAATATTGTCTCCACCACCACCACCGCCGCCGCTTCCAGGATACAATCCGACCTATCCCGTAAGCCCAACCCCGTATCATCCTCCGAGACCTGGTTATCATCATTATTCTGGGTATTATTAGAAACTAAATGGCAATTAAGTTCCAATTAATCGTTATTATTTCAAAATCTTCTGTACAGTTGTGAGTTAAGTAATTCGAGCATGGGAAAGTGCTATCAAGATGAGGAACGGAGAATTTTGCAGCTCTTTTAAGAATTAATATTTCATTTACTTATTTTTTTATAGTTTTACCGGGTAGATGAGAATGTATAGATGTCATTTATTGCTTGACATAATCTCTATATTGAATATTTCAAATATGTTGATTTAATACGTACAGTGTTTAAGTAAGCATATGCAAGCTCTCTATCATTCTTGTGCACATGCGAAACTTAATCAAAGTCTTTGTCAAGAGCATCTTGTTTTACTTGCACAAAATAATTTAAATTTATATAAAATTTTATTTAAATCCTAGCTTTTATTTCACAGTATACTTAACAGCATCGTGCAAACTAGAAGTTCAATTTCACCTGTGTCAAGTGACACCGATAATATTATGTGCACAAGTTTTTAATCCTACTCGATTAGGACACAGTGTCCTTCACTGTGAATGGTTTGAAACGAGTGCTAATTAGTAGGAAGATTATCAGTCTAATACAATCCATTCATACCAAGTACAATTCTCACTCTTCCAGACTTTAAATATCTTTTAAATTATGATATACATTAATTGATTAAGTTTACACTTAGCAGTTATTAACTTCTCCTTGGAGCTCTTTTAAGAATACATTTGTTACGTTAATTCACGTTTTATGTAAAGACACAGTAACCCACTGTACTCGTATTAGATACGACAAACAGATATTTAAAAGTATGGATTAAAAACAGTCATAATCCAATGGCCACGACCGTGATAATCCCTTAGAAAAAAAGTTGTTACTTAGCTTTCTAGCCTATATTCTTCTATTTCGGATATGTGATTTGGATGATACCCTAAAACAAAAAAAAACCATAGCTGATATTCCACGTAACGTGACAACAGCCCGAATTTCCTGTATTACACAATTATAAAAATCCCGGATAGCAAAGTGTATTACGATATGAGAAATCAAGACAGCGTAGAAAGTATTGATGGAAAAGAAGAGAAACAATGTAATAAATATTTCTGGCAGAAAATCGAAATTAGTTAAACGTACAGGGAGTGAGAGCTGTTCTGTGATTATACATATATAATTGCATTAGCGAGTGACTAAATATATAATTACAATTTGAAAAAGACTAAAAGAAATTCACGCGACAAACAAGAGAACGATGTTTTATTTACTGTCTTTCGATTTGAACATGTAGCTACAAAAGGTCTCTCGCTACTTTTTATGAGTAAACAGGATAATTTAAGCCTGTACGTAAAGATTTGTTTAAACTTTTAATTGTGAACACAGAAAAACACTACAATTATTTGTATTATTTTAATTTAATGAATATTGCTACCCGGGATCCTGTAGATTATGAGATAATTCCAAATCGGGATGCCTAACGGTAGTTTATAAGAGTAAATATATTATGCATGATGACCTATAAACGGGTCACAATGTTCATTTACAATTCTAGTCATTATGAGAATACATAGTTTCTTCAATGAATGTAGCAATTACATTTAGCTATTTAATACATTTTTCTTAAGTCATACAGTGAACTTTGCGAATGAACTTTTGATGCCAAGTATTAAATTGTAAATACAGCTTTTAACAAATTCATTAAAGCTGCGAATGGCTAATTCAAGTATAATTGTTATTGGACATCGATTAAGAGAATTTAATCGCACAATTATTTTAATTGTGAATTTATTAATACGAGCATGTAATTGTTACTCATTTGCAAAGTCTGCTGACATTTTAAGTATAGCTTCCTAGTTCTCATCGGACTTATACCCATCCGCCATCTATTGAAACCAAAGATCTAAAATAATTGTAACATTTGTGCCAAATTGCGAGGCGCTCGTTGTTATGTATACAATTTTTAATTGTTATAAGGAGCTTATTCTGATAATTAAGTTTTTTAATTTTTTTTGCGTGTGTGACGCATCTTCAGACTTCACTTATTATCGAATTCTAGATTTATTATTATATTTATTTGAATTTCATATTAATTTTTGCTTTTATACAGTTCTATTAATTTATTTCTTAAGTTTGGGTTATCGAAGTGCATTCTTAACATTACTTGTACTTTTTATAGTTTTTTTTAAGAAAGTTCTTTCGAGACAATTTTCGGAATGTTGGAAGATCCTTCTTGTTTTGAACGAATTTTTATTTTATTCATTACTATCATGGACATAATTCTGTTCATCCATTTCAGCGTGATATTATCTGTTTTTATTTATTTAGGCATAAATGTTGAACGTGAACCTCGTTTAAATAATTATATTCTGTATATTGTGCATATTTGACGCTAGATTTAACGATAATTAAAAAAAAAAGATAAGAAAAGTGAAAAGTATACTTGAAGATTTATGATATTCTGAAGATGATGAAGAAGAAAAATAAAAATTAAACAAAAACTCAAAGGAATAATATTTGTGAGTACAAAACGCGGCACAGGATATATTTATATCAGGTTTATTAATTGTAAGTGATACCGATAGAATGCAAACAGTGATTAAAAAGACCAAAATAATATTCTCTCCCAAAATGTGTTCTTTCATTTTATGCATTAGGATCTCTAATATATGCTCTTTACTTTGACCTGTTTTCCCTTATATTGTTCAGACAGTCCTACGAGATAAGTTTGATTTTGAGTTTTCCCGGGCGACTTTTAAACTGATGTATAGTGGTGCCACCTTGTGATCGTTTTGCTTTGCCGTAGCAGACCTCTTTACACAGGGTCTTCGTGGTCTAAGATTTCCCTGAAAAGAACGAAAAATGGCTTCGTCGGTGGTACGGGCCCCTCTTTTGCGTAATGCTACGGTAAGCTCAATTTTCCTGATACGCTTTAACTAATAAAAAATATATTAAGATTTTTAGAGATGCGAGCAGCTGCGGTCGGGTTTTGGAATCGCTTTTGATGGGGTGTTATGTAAAGGCTCAAATCCATTGATTATCGTATATACTACTTAATTGACTCTTTTCGTAATACCTATTTTCCAAGGATATTTTTTAAAACGTTATAATATTCTACATTTGCCTTTGAGTGAACTAACAGAAAGTAGCATTTTGTGGTAGCAATCTGTCTGTGAAGTATGTGACAGAATTGGGTTCGGTGACTGGGCAGGACAAGGCTGTCAATGACCTTTTTAGATAAAACTTGCTGTTACAGTGTATATGAGTTATTTAATCTCATACCAATGACATAACTTGTTAACAAATTAAAACTTTTGAAATTTCTCTCTTTAGGTGAGGCACTATGCTGCTGCAGCTGCAGCTCAAAGTGCTGTGAATCCGACACCTGATTCTCAGGTACTGGGAAACAAGATTACTGTAGCTGCCATTGACAGCAATAGCCCGGTTGCTCAGGTTTCTGTGATTTTCAGGTAATGAGAATATTCTACCAGCTAAAATTGATCAAAACTGTATTTTGTGACTATAAGATATTCATCTCTATTATCTACAGGGCTGGTTCTCGCAATGAAACATATGACACGCAAGGTATTTCTCATATGCTCCGAATTGCTGCAGGCCTGACGACAAGCCGCTCTACTGCTTTTGGCATCACCAGGAACATTCAACAGATAGGAGGAAACCTAACTGCTGTGGCCGACCGCGAAAGTATTGCCTACACGTTGCAGGTCACTCGTGACCATCTGTAAGTCATCAACTACCTAAAGAATACACCAATAATCATACAATAAACAGTCTTTGACATATTATCAAATTACTATTAATTACCCACAGTGGTCAAGCTCTGACATTCTTGGAAGACGTCGCAACCCGTCAAATTTTCAAACCATGGGAAATCTCCGACCAGGCTGCAAGATTACGATATGAATTATCCAGCATCCCAGAAACCACCAGAGTCATTGAACTACTCCACAAGGCCGCCTACCGCAAGGGTCTTGGATATTCTCTCTACTGCCCAAAGCGTCAAATCGGCAAGATCAACAGCGAGTCTGTAAGAAAACATGATTGAGTCTATTATACATAATATAACAATAAATACTGAATCTAATACTTTTCTAACAGCTTCAGCACTTTGTCAGCACCTGGTTCTCCGGAAACAGATGCGCTGTAGTCGGTTCCGGTGTTTCCCTCGAAGAACTCTCTAACTTCGCAGAAAATCTGCAGGTCTCCGGTCGCGACAGCAACTCCGAACCCTCTAAATATGTGGGGGGTGAATTGCGCAAGGAACGTAACTCGCCGCTAGCCAGTGTAGCTGTGGCAGTCGAGGGTGCTGGACTTGATAAGGAGAAGGATGCTCTTGCACTAGCCGTTCTTCAGTATGCTGCTGGTACTGGTCCCCAAGTCAAATGGGGATCTAGTAGTGCTCCCCTGATCAAAAGCGTCGCATCTGCAGCTGGTTCTGATCCTTTTGCTATTACTGCATTCAATGCTAGCTATTCCGACTCTGGTCTGTTTGGTTTTGTACTCTCCGCACCTCGCAACGTTGCTGGATCGGTATGTAATATGAAAAAAAAGCAAACGAAATGAAATAATGTATCAAGATCACCTGCACTTTTACCAAAATTGCATTTAAAAAAGTGGTTGAATCTTTTAGCTCACAACTGCTGCGTACAAATGGCTGAAGTCTCCTAATGTGACTGACGCCGATATTACTCGTGGCAAGACGGCGCTCAAAGCGTCGATTTTGTACGCAGCTGAGGATCCTTCTTCACAATTGGAGGGAATTGGGCAACATGCACTACTCAAAGGACGCACAGCGTCGGTCGTCGCCATTGCTGCTGAAGTTGATAAGATTTCTGCGTCTGATGTTAAGAGCGTCAGTATACTCATGAATACTTTATGAATGTTTAGATTTTCTCTCTTTTTCTAATTATTTTAAAGATTTGCTTTCTCTCTGCTTTCTAGGTACTTTGTAAGCTTAGTGGCAAACCATCGTTGGCGGCCATTGGCGACCTTTCAACTGTCCCACACGTTGATCAACTGAGTTAGATCTTAGAATCTAACATTCCGACATCCTTAGTACTAAAACTAAAAAAAAATCAGCATATTTATCACAGGAGTCAAGAACGCGAAAACCCGTTATTTCTTCGACGTGGTAATGGCTCGTGTTCAGTTGCAATTCATGTAATTGTGTAAATAATAAATAAACAATTAGACAACAAAAAATGGCTTCTTATGCAGAGCTTTGATGTCTCGATCAGAAAATTAAACTGGTTATTAAATATCCCATACGTAATATTTATGTTAATAAGAAATAAAATATATTTGTTTATTTGTGTACAATGGTGGAACCGTTTCGCTGGGTGTTTTAAAACATTATTTAAGAATTCTCGCCAGGAATCAAAGCGAGAATTTTCGGAGTCTCAGTACAACTTAACTTCTTCGATGGAATAGAATTTATTAAAATCCTTCGGTGTAGGCTTTAGAGGTTTGCCATGTGCTATCCTTTCCAGCATGGGTCTAATATTTTGTAACTCTTCGATTAGCTGAAACTAATAAGCAAGATGTTAACTTAAATAATTCTAGTATATTATATTTACATTCATTCAACATCTACTTACACGTGCTTCTAAGATGGAATCTAATTTATTAAATAGAGCTAAGATCTCTGGGTCTTGTGATAAAAGATAATGTTGATAGTGAGAATCTAGCAGTAAAGTCGCCCAAATAATCAACTGTTTTTCACAGAGTGGAGACGAGCCTTTAATTTCATCAGTTTCATTATCGAGCTTCTTAATTAAATAATGTAGTAGTGTCAATACTTCGTTAAAACTCAGTCCGGTTTTTAGGTAGGATAATAAACAAATGTCAGAATAGCTCGTGTTAAGGATCTTGTCTAGGAAGGTCCTCCTTCTCAAAGATATCGACTTTTTGATTTGGGTTTCACTTAGTCCATTTTTTACAGGTGTAAAAGTCTGTTCTGGTTCTTTCAAACAGAACGCTAACAAATCCACTAGTAACTTCTCTGGTATGTCATTGAAATTATCAAGACACCAAATAATCGCCTGGATATCCTTTCTTTCGATAAGTTGAGGAATTATTATTTGCTGAATGGCAGCATCGCTCAATCCTTCATTGACAAGGGTTAAAGCTTCTTTCGGCAAGGATTTAGGTAGTCTCTTAAATGAAAATGCTGCAGCATTCCCTAAATGATCATCCCACTTTGCTACCACAGATTCCTGAACTACCATAACCTCACTATCCTCATTTCTCTCTTTAATATTATTTTTAAATCTCAAGGATGATCCTAGCAGGCTTTCTATCTTCTGCGGAGCAAGTCTATATGGAGCTATTGCCAAGTGCCTATTGGCAGCTAATAGTAATTTGTCTTCAACTTTCCACAACTTAGCATCCTTTGTGTATAATTTCAATTTTTGAACAGCCTGTGCAAGTTTAAACTGCACATTATATATCATAAGAACAGCACCTTCTTCTAACTCATCCGCACCATAGACTGCTACAGTGGTTTCATTTAAAGCTGTCATCACAACAGGATGCTTTGTACTAACAGTTGTGACGACAGTTACTAATGCACCAGGAGGTGGAGTTGAGGAAGATCCTGTTAGTGTATACCTGCATAATCTTCCATGAGACCCTAAAGTTATAATTACAATTAAAAAAGAAAGATTTCAACATATGGTTCTTGGTTATTTTGAAACAAGGCTGCTTACACAAAGTCAAGAGATATGCATTATTGTTATCTTGCATAACAACGTGTCCCATGAGGTCTTCCGAAGTTCGTTTCAGTTCTATTCTTGTGATTTGATCAGGATCTTCTTGGTACGTGCTTCTTTTTAGACCGACAGTCACATAATTGTACACATGTTCTGCTTTTGCTTTTGTCAAAGCACAGAGGTATGTTCCATTGTTTACACTAACTAATTGGCACTGTACTATTTTTTCATTTTCTCTTAGAACACCTGGACTAGTCCATGATTTCTTATTTTGCAATGCCCATTCTAAGGAAGCTGTTGCACCATTTTGTGTAACTAAAACTGGCGGATGTCCTTCTAATGAAAGTATTGTGTGAAATGGAGTACTGAACTTATATCTCTTGACTTTCTCCAGATCTGTTTCCTCATCAGACCAAACACGAACATGATTCTCATTGAAGACTGCAGCATAACGACTTTCTGTTTGGTCATATATGACTTGTGTAGTTAAACGCTCCTTGCTCGTCCAACTATTAACTTGCTTTAAATCTTGGAGCTGAAAAAGAAAAGAACAATATTAATGTATTAATTCAAAAGACAAACCAATAATATTTGATCTCATGATTATTTCCAACAATGAAGTTCATTTTAACAAACATTACTTGGAGTCCAATATGTAAAATTAACTAAAAACCGGAATAAAATTATTAAAAACAAAACAGCAATATATAAAAATACCAGAATAGAATGATCTGTATGATCTGTATTAAAGATACAAATAAAATAATTACAATAAGTAAAGATATATAACCTTATATCGAATAACAATATTTCTGCCAAGGGTAACAATGGCGCAGCCAGAATCCGAATCTTTTTCAACACCCAACAAATTCTGTTGATCGATTAATGGGCACAGTGTGTAATAGGAACTGAGTTTAGCCATTTTATTCCCAAGAAATAATATAACGATCCAATTCTCTCATGGGCGCAAAACGTGCCATTTGAAAACGCACACCGAGCATCGGAGTAGTTACCATTACAGATATTACTTGAATTACGTATATAGTACAACAATCTTTCGTAAAAAGTGATGGCGCTACATGAAAGATCCGTGAATTCTATAGATTAGAAATACACGTATGCTGCCATCTCTTAGAAACCCCATAAAACTTTTACGAAATATAAAATCCAGTACAGCGACTATCAGAAATTTACAAAAAAGTTATAGCATTTTTGATCAACAGAATTTTCTTGCCCATGTATAACGTGTAGTCTGATACATTTTCGATTTGCAAACTTTTCTACACCATCAAATTTGGTGTGTCGTAGAGTCAAGCCCCCTTAGGGCTTGGAAGAACAGGAATGAAATATTTATTTTTTTTTTGGTACGATGCATGGAACGTCACATGCAATGAAGATTAATGATTGTTATCACATTTTCACGCTATAATTTTATTTAAAAAATACATTAGGCGAAAAACTAAAAAAATATAAAGATAAAATATATGCTTTATCTCATAATGGGGAGTAAGAAGATCAATGACTCCACACTCATCGCTATTACTTCAACAATATTTATCTACAGGCCCTGCAATATTATTCATGATTCAAAACTTTTTAACTTTTTTTTATGACTAAATGACACCCTAGGGAAATTAAGGAAACGCGGGGTACTTGTAATGTCAATTTTCACGAATGAGAATTTGGAGCGCCTACGAGCATGCAACCTGCTCTGCACTTCATATAAAAGATACACGAAGTTTCATCCCACAGGCGTCTACAGTACTTTATACAACATCAAGCGATACCATACAAACATACAAACATGATATTCCTAATGAATAGATACCGAAGCATACTTTCCGATACAGTTTGAAACGTAATGAAATTTTCACCGAATAATCTTATCGACTAAGATCTTAATCGTATATTTGTTTTTAATAAACATACTTCTTTTCTGGAACTCCATGCCAAAACTGTTCTCAAATTTCTTATTATTCCTTACCAGTATCCAATTCCTTCCTTTCCTTGTGACTGCCTTCTACAATGAGATGCGCCAGACAGTATCTAATTGAAATGCAGGTAGTTACGATAAAACACAAAGCGCATGTCAAACAAGATACGTTACCTAGAGCAGAAAAATATACATAACAAACCTGACACGAGCGTCGGGTTAGGAAAACAGCCGTAAGCCATGGAAACACGAGCGCGTCAGTCGCCATTACTGTGTCAATAGGTTACGAGTATCTAGAAAAGATTACCCCATAATCTTTAATATCCAACAGTACGATTGTTTCAAGTTTCTTACGGAGTAATTAAAAAGTGACATAAAAATGTACAATGAGTCAAGGCAGTACCAAAGTCAATAGCAGTATTGTTCGAGCGAAGTATCAAGCTATTAAAGAATTGTATTAACCTTATTAAAGTGATGCATCCACTTGGTTAACATCGTCCTTGACTTTTTGAGGATTGTTTTGGTTAAGATCAATTACACTGCAGCACCGAAGCTTCAGGGTGAGTAAGCAACGTGCTCCATTTATTTCACACCTCACCCTCGTCTTTGGGACGTTTACGTTGAAAATAGAAACTCTCTCAAGTTTACACTTTAAAAGATGCGTCAAGATCTGCTGCAACGGTTAGTTCCAGTAAACTGTTCAAAAACGAAGCGTTATTTCGGAAAATTTCCATTTTCATGCATACTCTTTTCATAGCTATGATAAGTCCAGCAAAGCAGTAATTATATTGACTGTTGCAGATCAAACAGCTCGATTTAAATATCTATTTTCTAACGAAATGGAAAAATATTCAATCCGATTATTTCTGTCTAACGAATCAATTCTATTGTTCCTTTCGAACATGAACCTTTTTTCTACCACTGTTCGCAATGCTTACCAACTGTGCTCGACTTGCGTTTCGCAGACTCTTCGTTTCATCAGCAATTTCCAAGCTGTGCAAATACGAAGAACTGCAACGGAGTGGCGCATGAAATTATCATTTAGACATTTTCGCGTATTACATCGTACAATTTATATTTATGTTTTCTGAAAAACAAGAGTCTTCCCGATAGAGAAATTTATAAGTAACTGGAGGATGTGGTTTATCCTTGTCACCCGACAGAAATAAAAAAAAAGTATATTGTCACGCGTAAACCGGAAACCACTTTCCGGCCCCTTAAACGCCCATCCTAAATCTCTGTCAGCTTGTCATCACGGCAGCAATGTGCGACCTGGGTCCAGGCTTATGTGCCATATATAGTCACGTATGTTGTATACGAATGTAACATATGTACAATCTATGTATGACTCGAGGCGGAGAAATGCTGTAACAGTATTAGTACTATTCACCTATCCGTGTTAACTATGCCACAGCTTACACCGTTTAAGACCTACAATACCAATAACGTGTACAGTTATCATTAAACGAGTATAGACAGAAAACATTTTTCTACAATAAAATCCGTTAACAATTTTTCAAAACGACGTTGTCATATCTATCAAATTGTTATCACGACTGTAAATCAAGACTCTTAGATTTTCTAAAGGAAAGAAAATGCTCTGCATTACCATCTACGGAACAATTTTTTTGTCAAACAAGTAAAAGTCAAACGCCAGATGTTTCTCGTTTGTCAATAATAAAGGAAGAACAAGATGCAGAATATATATGTACATATATGATATACGACACGTGAACCTAGTTATTCATTCACAAACGACAGCAAAGTCTCACAAATTTTCCACCACGTGTTAATCGGCTTGGATCCTGAAATTATTTTTTATATTTATTGACCCGCCAATCCGGTTGGAAAGATCCGTGAAACCATGTGGAACACGAGGGAGGAAAGATGCACGTCTTCCTCAAAACGCACCCGTATGAACGCGTCGCGACGCATCTTCGACGTATGTTAAACGAGTGCATGTGTGGTAGAATCGGTGGTGGCCCATTTGCCCAGATGTTTGCAAGAGGGTCGTCCGTTCGCCTTTCTCGAATACTTATTCAGATATATGCATCCTGAAGCTGGTAAAAAAGTAACGAGCATTATCCTAAAGTAAAGAAGATCAATGTGACAGCCATCATTTCTAATCCATTAAACGATACTTTCCTACGTCCTAAGTTCTGTTATTTATTTGCACCTCAAGTTTTCGCACGCTTTCCGTTTTCGATTGACTTTAATGATCTTGTCGATTTATTGACAAGGACTTTCGAAAATTTCTTAGTAAACCGCGTAGAGCTGATTTCCATCTTGAGAGTATGAAAAAAAAAATTATTTACAAGCATAAACTATACGGTTTACAGAACTTTTATGTACGTAGCATAAATTTTCTTTCACGAACATATGTATATGCTTATGTATATAATATATAATAAATACTTTTGACGTAAACACACCTTTATCGCCAGTCTGATTAGCCAGCACCATTATTATTATGGACGCTATAAATCCACACTACTATCAATTTCATTGCGGCATTGATAGACGCTGTTAAAGATCGTATAACAGCTGAGGAGTCATTATATCAAGCATAGAATAAAGAAAAATAATAGAGACGACCGTCTGATCTATCAATAAAAACTGTTCGTGTAAATAATATCCTTTGTTCGTTCGTATCGCGTGTAAGTGACGTCATTGGCGCAGTTCCCGTTCGAGAATCGAGAAAATACCGAAAACAGGAAAGACAAGAGAAAGAGAGAGACTAACGGGGAAATACCCGACTAATTTAGACGTGCGGTCCAAAAGTGTCGCAAGCCCTATAGCGATGCGCCTTAACAGTAGATATACGATGGCAATGACTAACCTCAACGGTAAAAGCCTAAGACCGATTTCATGACGAATTCAACGATCTCGTAAAGCACAAAGTGATGGGTGTTAAATTGAAAATATATTTAATTTTGAGGAAAACAATTTACAAAAAATTACATAGCTCCGGCAGACTTAATTTTCTCATAAATGTAACGAACTTTATTATACCGGGTATATATACACGGCGTGAGTCAGTTAACGTCCGTAATGCGTGTTTATGACGTAGCAATCTTTCGTTGATTTCTTTTTATGTCTCAATAAAATAATCTAATCGCCGTATTGTATTAGGTAGGAAAAGAAGGTTATGTGGAGCAGAATAGCTGAGGAACTTAGGAGAGCGCGCGTATACATATGTATACGTACGGTAAGGATAATACACGGGGATAACATGGCGGCCGAGCTAAGATAACGCGATATTTATAAAAGACAAGTACGTGTAATCGGAGGACCCAGAGAAAGCAGCCCGAGGGGACCCAACCCGCCCAAACTTTCTGACGTTCCATATATGTAGCTATGAATCCTGCCTGAATATGTAGCCTGATCTTCGTTCTCTGTGCGTATCTTGCGCATGTACACGCCACGTGGAATCGAGAGGTTAGGAAGAAAAAAAAAGATGGCCTCTGGCAAGCAAGAAGGACAAGGTGAAGTACGAAGGCGCGTAGCACGATTTCGAATTTGATATTAGAAATTGGGGTCCCTGCCAAACTTGGTTACTATCACGGGAATTTAAGACGAGGAAGAAACAGGTGTGTCAAATCAGGAGCAATGACAATTTTTAAATTAGAAATTTGTCCTAGTATGACTATTGGTCTGTAAACTTATTTAAATACGTATACTTGAATATATTTATAAATTTCACTCGACCTCCTTTATTTGTAAATCTAGGTACAGATTGGAAAAAATATTTTGACGTATACACGTTAACTGTAATCAGGTCGGGATATCAGTTTCAACTTTAGGGGACTCAATTATGTTTCAATCCATAACAAGATGACCCTTCAAAGTCGAACTGATGTCACGACTCGACTAGAGATGGTTTGATGTGATCTTGATGTGCTAAAATACAGAATAATTGTTCGATATTGTTTAATACACGTATAAAAAATTGATTGATTCAAATTTCAGGACTAAAGGGACTCGTGAGGAATCTTATTTAAATTCGAGAAAAAATGAGTGACGATTCACGTCCACCGAGTTTTTCACGTGTACGACAAATTTCTCGAAAGGTTCGGCCTCCTGTTAAATTGAAAAAGGAATCGATACGACCACCTACCATCAATGAAATTATTTTTCATCGACGAAATGTCCCGAGGTATTTTCAACTTATTATCAATAAAAGCTAAAGGAAGTTTACCATTCTAAGAAATAATTTTAAGCATGACTTATCATATAAGATAAATATATTTTTTATTAACACAATATTTTCCCATCTAACGATTTCCCGGATAATTTCTTCGTCATCCGTTCTGCTAACTACTTATGAAATAAAAATAATATAAGCTTATTTTTATCCTTAATTTAGATCACGTTATTACTTCACGAGCGGACATGAGCATTGTGGAAAACCAAGAGACGTTAATACCGAGCAGTCGCCATATGCAATTCCACCAAATTCAAGTTTGTTCAGTTATGCTCAATATTGCAAGGGTCGAAAGCAGCGATCTTTTCGCGAGCCCGAAAAGCCAACCTACAAAACAGGCAAGAGCCAAGAAACACGTGGCACGTGCGACATCTTGAAAAGGCTGCAGGTGTGTTTTCAATAAAAATAACGCGATGCGGTCAGGCGAGAGTGAAAATCCACGAGATAAACTCACCGTGATATCTGTGAGAAATTTGCAGACTGCATGCTTGATGAATATCTTGAAGATAATCCTTGTGCCTTGTGCATTCAGGTGCAGGTGGAGATTGAAGAGGATGAAGCAAAGGTCCATAAGGACATGGATAAAGCGAACGCCATGACCGACATAGATCCTGAGTATTTTACAGAATTGCGTGGAAGAGTGATCAAGGATCGTTCATCGTTGAAAAAATATGTTGATGATATAAGGGAGGTCCTTAGGACTAGATTACTTGCTGGACAGGAGAAAGATGACTGTATACGTATAGATCAGCAATTTAATGAGGAGCAAAAACGATTGGATAAGATAAAAGTATGGGGGGATGCTGTTGATCATTGATTTCTCTTTAAAATATTTCTCTGAGAATTTATATTGCTTATTTTGTTCTCTGAAAAAGAGGAGGTATCGACAGTATGTAACTGGATTTGAGGAATTCCTATCTAAAGATCATGAACAGAGTATGGAGGTCCTACGCAAAGCTGAGGAACAAACTAATATCACCGATGAGTGCAGTGCTAAGAGAAACCAATTGTCCAAGGCTTATGGTCAGATCAGGCTGGACGTTTACTTCTGGGAAGAGGCATGGAGGATGGTGAAGATGTGTCAGAAATTTTTGTACCAAGTCTCACCTTTATCTTGGAGAATTCAGCATGATTTGGCGCACAGGAATCAGAATGAATTGGTATCGGCCCAGGATGATGATCTTTTTAGTCGGTACAAGATGGCGGATCAGGTGGCATCCCTCGACTCGTTGATAGGTACATAACAAGTGGAGATTTAAGATTTATATTTTAATCTACGTTTTTGTATACATTTTTCAGAATTATTTGAGCAGGATATCGCGGATGCTGAACCACCTCAGTTGTACTTTGAAGATCCTCAGGACTTGCTGAAGGTTTTCAGGGCGATGGAACTCCAAAATCTGAATGCCTTGATGCACCTTGAATCTTTAGCAGGACCCATGGCCGCCATTGCTACCACCATTACGGAAGCTGAGAATCAGATCAAAAGTGAAATACGAGAGATCGTTGAAGGAATCGAAGATCTAGAGGTATGATTATAATAAGGTGACATAGGTAACTGAAAAAATATGACAGACCACTTAAAAAAGAGAGTTTCTTATGTATAGGCGGCCATTAGCTGGAAGGAGTCAAGAGCAGCTAGTTTGGAGGAGTACGCGAATTATCTTCTCTACGGTATATTCCGCAACTTGGTGTGTTCAGAACCTGTTCTCAATATACGTGTCTTCATCGAGGACACCTACGAAAGCTGTGTAGCACCAAACGACGCCAACCTGGACAGCTACACGATGATGCGTTCAATCGAGAAGGTACATGAGGAATTGAATATGCAGTTGGATAACCTACCCCACGAAGTAGTGCAGACATGCGAAAAGGAAGGTTTCCGGCAGGAAATGAAAGCCATGAAGGAAGCCGAGGACGCAGCCAGGAAGGTTAGTAAATTAAAAAATAAAACATCTGAGAGAGCTTTTCCATTATTTTGTTCTATAACTATTTTACCTTAAAGGCAGTAGAACTGAATATTCATTGGCCACTTTTTTCCCGTTTAGTTTGAACTCATGCATAGACTATTGGCTGCATTGCAACATATAATGGAACCACCGAAACCAAAGAAAAGATCTTTGGTTAAGCGTTCAGCTCCCATCGAGCCTAAAATTAAAGAAATGCCGCCAGCGCCACCACCGACTGACGAGGAAATGCAAATACTAACCTTCTTCACGGGTTACTGCCCTCAGGAAAACTATGAAAATTATCGGAATCAGTTTCCCGATGATTTTGACTTAACTTTTAGAAGTCGCGGGTACGATCTTCATGAAAATATTTCTCAGACGGATAACAAAGATTGCCGTATTCAGCATGCAATTAACCTACCAAACTGATCAATAATATATACGTATGGTACTTTCAATATATCCAAATTTCTTTAAAAGTCTTTCAGTAATCGATGTGACGGCTGGGAAAATTTTTGACAAAATTTCATTAAATATTAAATTGAATATTTCACGGCTGAGATGTAGCTATTAAGTCTAAAGACGATAAATGATTCACCGTGGCACGTCATTCAAATTTAAAATAAACGTCACAAGTTGTTAATCCATACATTGGTGCGATACACTTATATTAATGAAAACGAATCTATATCGAGGTCGTTAAAGTAATATTATTGATGTTGATTTAAGTTCCCCAGTTTAAAGCCGATATCTACATAACTGTAGAATAAAAGTTTCGTCGTCTCATGCGGGTGGTAATAAACTCATTGAGGAATATGAAATTGCAACAAACCACAGTTGAGTGCTATTTACACTTTTAGTTTGGCGAACAGCTAGTGAATAAGGTTATGTACACTAGCGAGCAATAATGGCCTTCTTGTTACAGTGTAATAACATTTGATTTAAAGTAGTATTTTCGAGGACCATTTGGCTTCCTTTTTACATCTCATGTCCTCGTTAGAAACATGTGCTTTCTGCTATGTCCTGAATGACCAGTGCTAATCCATTATATATTTTACATTGCCTTTCAGTTCTTGAAAATGTAACACAAGTTGCGATTAATTTTACTTTAGTCTGTAATAGAAAAAAAAATAGTAATGGCGCCAAGTTCCACGTGGCTTCGTGGGCGTTCCGGATCTCGTCGAGACGCGACAAACAAAACTGACTAATGAGGGTCGCGATACGACAACAACGAGCTGCTGATTAATAAAAAGTAAAAAAAGGGAAATGACGGGGACGCGCCTCTATTGAACGAGACTATAGGGGTCGTCATTGAAGTTGCCCTCTAAAGGGAAGGCAGAATGACTGATAAGAGGATATAAAGGGTAGAATAGGGATGTAAAAAAAAAAGAAATCTCACGTACGGTTGCACAGTCTACTCAGTCCATACAGTATGAAGCAAAATGCACACCAAAGAATATCTACATAATATAACACAGAGCAGCAGGAAAAAAATTATCTCAACAATCACTGAAATTAAGTACATTAAAATAAGAGAAGATTTCATCCTAAATCTCTGTAATTTTTCACAAGGAGAAAGGTGACCGATCAAAGGTCAACCCGAACGATTACCAAAGGCCAAATTGTCACCGATGTTGGAACCAGTGGATTAAAGGAGTAATAGATAAAAATGCAAAAAACAAAATGGAGTCCTTACAAATGCGAGGTAAAATCCCAGTTGAATCCCGAGTTTCGTGTACTTGTATAGAAGGCCCCAGAGATTATCCCCATGGCAACGAGGCTCGATACCAGACTACTCTGTACAGCCTGTCTGGGGTAGTACTCTTGAACGACCCGCTACCCCCCCCCCCCCC